TATATATATATATATATATATATATATATATATATATATATATATATATATATATATATGACAAAAGAAACCCCACAAATCTGGAATGAAATTGTCAAGTTATCTTATTTTCCATTGCTACTTCCAGTGTTTCATAGTTTCAGAAGATCGTAGTGAGAAACTGTTGGGCTCTCAGTGGGTCTAAAAGGAAGGGGACGCCAGTGGTCAGCTAGAATTGTGACCATGACCCGTCCGTGGGCTGGCTCCCAAGATGGGCAGGTACTGTGCGATGTTGGACTTAGTTCCACCAAGCAAGCCAAATCCAGTGGAATTGAATATGGCAACAGGAGGTTCCAGGAAGATAATAGCTATTGGTTCACTCGAAGCAGAAACCAGAGAGTCTGAGGAATCATCCGCTTGGAGAGCTAGAGAATGAGGCCGGCCCCCAGGCAAGCCTGCCATGCTTACCGCAGCTGCGGTCCGGCAGGATTTTGAAGAGAGAAACCTAGCCCTGAGTCCTGAGCCAGCAGTGCTCATCTGGGCCACTCCATGACAGTCATATTAACAGAGTAAATTCTAGGATTTTACTGTGGATCTGAGGAAGCTGCTGGCCTCATTGCTCCAGCCAGGACTAGCTTAGGGGCTGGGAGAGCTTGAACCCAAAGATGAAGGGCATCGATACATGCAGTGCATCTGAGGAGGGACAGGCGGGAGCTGACAAAGCAGATGCAGTTGCCAGATGGCCTGGAAGGAGATGGTCTCAAGGCTGGAATTTGTCCCCTCATCGATGGGAACCTTGCCTAAGTCCCCCCAGAGCCATTCATTTCGATCGCATTTTACAAAATCCTGTGACATGCCACTCTTTCTCACTCCTCTTCTCTGGCCAAGAGCCTCCTTTGCCACCGTCCGCAGGAATTGTCCCAGCTTTGGCCGTGGGGACTAGAAAGCACTGTGTTCCTGGAGGCAGTTGTTCCCAGCATCACACTCACCCTGACAAATGGTGCCCTAGCCTTTTGCATGGACCTGCTGCTGCCTGTGTTTGAATTAATCCTTCTTCACACCCCTCCTCAAACATTACTCAGACTCACAGCTTGAACCCTTGATTTCTGAGGTCGATCTCCTGGACTTGACTGCTAGCTCGCCTTCATGTTGCCATGTTTCCATTCCTTTGACTGTAAGGGATATTTACAGCCCTAAATCAGGGACTGCAGTTATTTCTGACTGTCCTGAGTCAGATACATCTGGGATGTTTCTAGTCATATTCCATGCTTACTTATTCTCCATTCATTAAATGCCCGATCCCTGGGTTCCACCTATAGTCCACTCAAGCTTAAAGCACCTGTATGATTCACCCAGCACAGCGGACCTCCTGGACGTCTCATCTATGACCTGCTCTTAGCTTGAAGAGCTCCTTTTTCTCCCAGTCAGTGCTGTGCTCACACCCTGGCCGCTTCAGTGTAGGCTTACACACACACAAAAAAAGCCTGTCCTGCTACCACTGCCATTGCCACGATACCGGGACCATTAAAAGTTTAGGTTCACATTCGTATCTCACTTCCCAGTGGAATTAGAGACGGGAAGCACTGAAAGTTCTTTATTTTGTAACATTTGGCACATGCGTGCTTTCTTTCAGGAATCACTGGTCACTTATACAAAGGGCCTCCTAGGCTGTTTTCTTCTCTTTGGTGTAAAGAGGTGAAAAAAGGTAGGGAAGAAGCAGTTTGGCTGTGAGAGTCTCCGAGAAGGAAGGGAATGGTCATTTAATGAACATATTTTGTGTCCTAGGTGTTAACATTTCTAACAGTGCTGTGGGGACGTTGACATTATCTCTACTTTTTAGATCTGTAAGCTAAGGCTTGGAGAGATTAGATAATTTCCCAAGGTCTCGTGACTAAGAAGAGGCAGAGCTGGGAGTGGGATGCAGGTCTGTCCAACCCTGCATCTCTCCTTCTTCATCCCACCTTACTGAATCTTGTCCACTGGATGTGCTTACTACCCTCGAGTGTAAACACGGGCATTTTTTTTTTTTCGGTCTAAAGGTCACTGGGTCAACAGGTATCGCTCTCTCAGAGCAAGTTTCCTTTGTGCACAAGTTTCCTTTGTGCACCTCCAATATATTTAGTGTTCCCCTGCAGAGCACCCCACGTGGCTCATGGTCCTAGGAACCCGTAACCCAATCAAGGAAATATTTTATACATTTCTCAAAAGCTAAGCAACCATAGTAGTCTCCATAAGCACGAATGGAAAAGGAAGCAGAAGTAAAAAAAAAAAAAGGGGGGAAGTCGCCATAGGATGTGCACTGTAGATTCTAAGATGATGGCTTTTAAAGAGCTGCTAGGTGGTGGGCATTCCAGCTATCATAGGGGATGAGCAGGGCATGTCAGGGGGTAATGCGTAACCACGCTGAAAGGTCAGGTGACGACGAGATGTTCTAAAAACGTGTCGGAAACTGAATTTGACTAGAAACATGATTAAAAAGTTTGAGTGCTTGGCTGTATCATTGGGGAGACACTGTGAGTGCCTAAAAGGTTTTGGGGTGGGTAAGTGAAAGATGAAAGCAAAAGGTTCGGTCTAGGCCTGGTATTTAGGATGGATTATTTCATCATGGATAGTGCTGAAACCAAGAAGACAAGTTGAGAGGAAGGTTATGATGAGATTTCAGGCATTTTTCCCACCTTTTTTTTTTTTTTTTTTTTTGGTCCATCAGTGGAAACTTTGTCTTTGCTGAATCTCATCACCATGTTTAGTGGACATGGTGTGTTATAGAGGTCATATTTTTCAGGAAGAGGTTTTCATCACGACATATTTTCCAGCACCTGCTTCAATGTGTGCAATTCTCAATGAGAAAACCTGGACATAGAACCTACTCGTATGCTCTTGAATAAACCGCTCTCTTTGCCTACAGCTCTACAGCAGGCCCAACCGGCTGCTGTCTGGCGTACCGCTGTACAGAGGGGAAGGGCAGGCCCAAGATAAGTCTGCAGTGACGTCTCTGCTGGATGGATTGAACCAGGCCTTTGAGGAGGTTTCGTCCCAGGTAGGGCTGTGTTCTTAGTTTGCTCATGGCTCCTGGTCTCCATGAAGTTGCCCACCCCTGGGCATAAACTATTGAGACCCATCCCTAGTCAACAGCCCTGAAAGGCAGAGCCACTGGACTCCAGAGTCTTGTGCTGGTAGTTTTCTTTGATTTCTCAAAACACTATAACTGTTCTCCTCATTTTTTTTCCCCCCAGGGTGGCGGGACGAAGAGTCAGAATAGCCACTTGGAACAGAAATTATATGATGGGGTCTCAGCCACCTCTACTTGGTTGGATGGTGTTGAGCAAGGTTTATTTGTTGCCACAGCACTTTTGCCAGAAGAAACAGAGACTTCTCTCTTCAACCAAGAGGTGAGTTGGCAGCTCGTGTCTGTGAATGTATGACATTATGCTGGACTTTCTATGAGGAAGATACTTGATTTGTATATAGAATCATGGATCTAACCATTAAAATGTCTTTCTCTTTTATCCACCCTAGACGCTTGCCAAAGATATTAAGGAAATGTCAGAAGAGATGGATAAGAACAAGAACTTGTTTTCCCAAGCATTTCCAGAGAATGGTGATAATCGTGATGTTATTGAGGACACTTTGGGGTGTCTTTTGGGACGGTTATCCTTGCTAGACTCGGTAGTAAATCAACGATGTTATCAAATGAAGGAAAGACTTCAACAAATACTAAATTTCCAGGTAAGACATTATCAAGAGACTGTTGACCATGTTTTAGCCGTATTCAGTCAAAAAAAGGGTGTCTGGTTGAGGTATGATAAAGACTTTTTTTTTTTTTCAAATGTACAGTGAAGAGGAAGAACATTAAAGGAAAACAAGGTGATTGAACTTGAAGATTAGAAAACTAGTTTTGTGCTCCTAGACATGGAGGATTGAGAAAGCCAGGCAACCAAACCGAGGGCTGAATAGAACCTTAAATTCAACCAATAAAAGTCATATTTATGGCACATTATAATTATAATTTCCAGTTGATAGTCATGGAGTTTAAAACATATGACCTGAGAAACATGCGGGAAGGTTTGTTGATACAGAAAGAACCATAGGCTCCAATATCCAGGCCCATTGAAAGTGACCGTGGCCTAATTTGTTCCACCTGTGTTAGAATATATTATATAACTTTCCAGCCCTAATTCCTCAGACTTATTGCCTTTTAGCCCCAGACTAGGGTTCGGTTGCCAACTGAATCATTATGTGCTTACGAAACTTTTCCTATGATTGTAAACTTCAGCAAACGCAAAAGTTGCTGATAAACTTTTAGTGTTGATTTACATTTCTAATAAAAAGTGCCTTTTGGGAAGACTTAAGTTTTAATTGAATTTTATTTTTAACAGACATAGAAGTTTTATAAAATAGATACATGTAATTAAGGCCAAGAATTTGATGTAAAAATTTTGATGTGCATACAAAGAAAATACTGTGAATGTTAAATAAATGTAGGATTAGCCCAGAAACATGGAATTTTCTAGATCTTTATCTAGAGGGACACATTATCACTGCCTTCCAGTAGTTTATGTTCTTGAAACTACAAAGTGAAATTATCACAAACATTTATTTGTGTGTAACTTTTTTATTCACAAAAAATGTTCACATGTCCTCCTGTCTTTAATCTTTACAACACCCCTAAGCATTGTTCTGATAATCATTTTGCAAAGTTAGAAGAGCAAAAATAAAGAACAGAGTCTCCGAAGCCAACCTTCCTGGGTTCAAAGTCTGGCTTTGTCACGTACTGCTGTATAATGGTAGCTGCTTCTCTGAGCCTTAGTGTCCATAACTATTAAATCACACCTACATTCATTGCCTCATAGGGTTTTGTGAGAATAAAATGGTTAAAATGTATAAAATACTTTGAACAGTGTCTGAAACATAGTAAGTACTCAGCAAGTTTTTTTTAATATATACAGTAAAACTTTGGATTGTGAGTGACTTGGTTTGTGAGTGTGCCGCAAGACGAGCAAATATTTCTAATACATTTTAACTTGGTAAACGAACGATGTCTTGCAATACGAGTAGTTTGTTTCCAGAACGAATTATGCTTGCAAACCAAGGTATTACTGTATATTATTGTTGTTGGTATTAATAGTAGTACTTATTATAACAAATTAGGACCTGAAACCAATATAAAGGTTCAGTTCCTTCTCCAAGGTTATTGAACTATTGAGAACTAAAGCCAAGATTTGACTCAAAGAATATTTTTATAATTTATATTGTGAGGCTGATGGAAGGGGAGATGGAGAATAGAAGACCTATTCAAGTTATATTTTGAAGGCAGAATCAATAGGAGAGCATTTGTTGATGGTTTGGATATGGGGATGAGAGAAGGGGGACAGCTGAGGAATTCCAGGAATCTGACGTGAGCACCTGGGAGGCGTGGGGTGACAGAGGAGACCGGTGGATAGCAGTGCCATCCCCCAATGGGCAAGATGGGTCACTGGCAGTACCGCTGGCTGGGCAAGGATATGGGGTTGAATTAAGACATCAGGTAAATAGTCATTGTAGACATTTGGGCATGCAAGCCTGTGGCTAGAGGAATGATGTAAACTGGATATTTGCGTTTGTATCTATTATGTTGTGTAGCATAAGAGAGAGGACTGAGCATTTCACTTGGAGTTAAGAAAAGCTGGGATAATTACTTGGGTATTTTGGATGCAAGATCTGATTGCATGTACATATGCACACGGTATGTCTAAAATCAGCAACACTGTTGTACAACTCATGGAAACGGTTTCGTTACTCTGAAATTCATCTTGCATAAAATAATGCACTGAGTTATAACAACATTCTAATCTATCAGGCGTGAATGAGGTGCGTTAAAAGTAAAATGTGTTTATCGCTCAGAGGCAAATTTCCCTTTTTCAAGTTGCCTTCACTACGCTAGTGTCTTTGGTACATTGAAATTTTTATTGGTGATTAGACCCGGTGAGTGTAAAATGTGAATTAAGCATGAATACTCTGGAACTTACTTTGTGTACAGGGTTAAGCGTAAAACATGTAATCATGAAATTCTCTTTAAATCATGTTCTCTATTTTTCTCTTGCCATGAAGTTTCTACATGTCGGTGGCCAGCTCATGAACAAAAACTGATATTTTAAAATGTCTGTGTTCCAATTTAATTGAGAGAAAGAGTTCCAATGTTAAATAGTTAAAGGTCATGTCCCAAACCCTTTTAATTTACTTTGCACTGAACATCTGGTATGCTGTCAGTGCTCAATAGTTATTAGAGAGGCATGTCTTCATTTTCCACTGAACCTTTGAGTATTAGCTTTTGCCAAGCTGCTAACATTATCCTATACCCAACAGATGATCCGGAAAAATGCATAGATATTATGTAGATGTATATTATCTACATGGAATCATAATTAATTATCAACTATTCTGTATTTTAGAAATTTTTACCCATAGACTAAATTAACCCCAAATATATTTCCTAGACATTTTTATAGTTGAGCATTTTAAATTATTTTAAAATTGAAAAATGAAAGAATTCCTTATTGAGAAAGGCAGCACAAAGGATTTTAAAACTTGAAACTTTCTGTGGACCTGTTTCTCAAACAGCTAGAATCCTGTCTCTTTTATGTTCTACAAGTAATTCCAGTGACTATAAGAAAAAAAATGTAATGTCTGTTATGTATATAATATATAGATAACCTAATTATCCTGCTGTATCACAAGTGTAGTAATAAGAAATAGTTCAAAGCCTTTAGATTTTCATTTTTAAGAAGCTATCAACATCCATATGGTTATCAGCACCTCCTGAAGTCTTTTATTTAGTAATTTTTAAATCAAACACGTTCTCTGCTTTCCTGTCTTCTTGGTGAGTCTCTTCCAGTAATTACAGTGGCTTCCAAAAATGTGAACTCTGTTTGCTATTACCTTGACTAAAATATAACTAAGATAGAAAATATGCTATTAAAAATGTAAAGATGATGTGCAGAAAAACGTACACACTCTATTTCTAGCCCATGTTATGTTATTTACACTTATCTCCCCATTTATATTAATAAATGTTGTTCTAAATATAAGTAGATAATAGAGACTTTATTTCTTATGAATCTGTTCAAATGAATGGAAAACATCTTTTTGTATGCATACAGATACATGTGGCCCAGCTCTAATGGTCCACATGGCCTCACCCTGCACACAGCTGAATGATACAAACATTATCATAACTCATAAGCAAAACCCTTGTTCCTGGCACCATTTTTCCAGAGCTGTTATTACATTTTCCTATTTAGTCTGCAACTAGGCTTGCAAATTAGTTTGGGTTTTGGTTAGTCACAGTTATTGCCTCGTAGGGTCATATGCTTTTTTCTAATTTTATGTTCAGTACTATTATTTTTTTCTTAATTTCACTGCCCAGTCCACTCACTGTTGAGCTTTTCAGCCTTGCATTTTGGGTAATAAGACAGGTTGTGCCCCACACAACCTGTCTTCTTCCTTGAGTCTCATGAGAATGTTTGCATCTTGCTGACGTGAACTTGTATCTGATCAGCCCCCAGTGAAGAGGATGTGATAAGTCAGACTTCAGCCTGTGTTGGACAGTCATATACGTTTGCTGACCAATAAGACATAAAACTTATTTGCTGATATTTTAGGGAGGGGAATTAAACATTTTATCATTCAAATTTTGTTCTAGTCTACTATTCCCTTTTGAATTGAGTACCAAAATTCTGGTAGTTTTCTCCTTTTTGTACAGATCTAACTCAATATAAATATATTGGGACTTTTAAGTGAGAAATGTTTGTGAACAAAAGGCTTGGCTTAGTTCTTTTTGTGTTGTCTCTTAATATGGGTTTTTTTGTCATCATGGATGATAGTTATTTTCTAAACTTCTGGATGGCTTTTTATAAGCTTGTGCAAATTCTTTAAAAATAGTTTCCTATTTTTATAGGAAGTGAGGGAGAGAAGGAAGAGGGGAGAGGGGAAAAGGCATCATATTATTCTGAAGAATCATATTTTTCCCACATCAGGATGACATCTACAGGTCAGTTTACTAGGGCAGATGTCATCAGTGAAATATTTCTGCTGGAGTGTTTAAACATGCAGGTTCATTTCAGGCATAACAAGATTAGGGTGACCAGCATTGCTTTTTATTTGTATACTTTGCATTTACTGGGTCTGAAATGGTTTGTGTTACCAATTTTTCAAAAGTCAATTTTGGTACTTAGGTAAATTGTTTCCAGTTCCTTTTACCTTCCCATAGGACAGTACCGTTTCCCCTGGACTTAAATTCCTACACTGTATCATTATGTTAGTATTCCTAAGAATGTGTGTTATGTTTGCAACCATTTTGAATTTCCTGTTACACATGTTAAACCTTCCCATTGGTTTTCCCCCTAGAATGATCTGAAGGTGCTGTTTACGTCGCTGGCTGACAGCAAATACATTCTTCTGCAGAAACTGGCAAATGTGTTTGAACAGCCCGTGGCAGAGCAAATAGAGGTATTTATAGCTACCTTTTCCCCCAAGAGCAAATGCATAGAGTAGATCTGATTTACTATGAAATATCTAATATCCTAGGAACGATTAATGGCTTACTGTGGCATTTTTGTTTGTCATGTATTTTGTTTTTAAGAGCCAGCTTTGAAAACCTGGCCAGGTTACAGTGACTCTGTCGCTTACTTCTGCATAGAACTAGGAAACATGAGATAGGAGAAGGTGTCAGGGACAGATGCTGACCTGAAGACGTCGGTCCCCTAAGGATGAGATTAGACATGAACGTCAATGACCTGTAACAGGAAGTCAAACTGTCCTGGAGGCAGTACAGATGGAGGTGCTGTGGACACTGAGAGAAGAAGGGTAGATTGCCTCTAGCAGGGGTACGGCCAGGGAGGATTTTGAAAAGGGAAATTGGAACTGGACTCAGAAGCTTGGACACACAGAGACGGGGAAGAAAGGTATCCACGTCAAGAGGTCAACAAGAAAAGAAGCATATATGCTAGACAACTCAGAGCACTTCAGGAGAAAAACAAGGAATCCTATTTAGCTGAACTTACAATGGACTAATGTGATTGAGAGAAAATAAGGTTGGATGAGAAAATTTGAGGTAGCTTGTAGGGCCTATTGATGTCAAAGAATTTTGACTTTATTACATAAACCACTGGTCCCTAAACTTTATTGATTGCACACCTCATTAGTGAAAAAAATGAGCACATACCACAAATACTATATGACTATTTACTTATTTATAATTATAAGCAGGTACTATGTGGTAAAGCACACACAGAACAGATGCGAAAATGAAAAATGCATGTGGCTGAATATAAAGGAAAGATGTGTTTCATCTCATAGAACTTCTTAGGCACGTGTACTCATATTGGAGATCGCGGGCAGTGGAAAGTCACTGGGGACATGCGAGGGTGAGAATGAGTGTCAGTGCCAGATCCTGCGTCGAGATGGTTGACGTGGCAGCGCCAGGGTCAGGATGCAAGATATCATCAGGAGGCTTTACATAGCTGACCAGATGAGAAAGAATGAGATTTCAAACTAGTGTAATGGTGGTGAAAACAGGCAGGAGAGAAGAAATGGGAAGGATGCTATACAGAGCATTTCTTGTTTCATAAGCTAAGTGATTATGAAAAGTGTGAGTTTTAATAAAACTTCATAACCTAATTTCAGGAGACCTCTAAGGACTCTGTGGGTAGACTACGGAGAATCACCTGAAATATTTCTCTCTATAAAGAAATATCTATATCTATCTGTCTGTCTGTCCATCTACCTACCTACCTGAGAGAGATCACCTAAAATAGTTTGCAAAATTGTATGTGAATGTGTATTTTTCTTTACCATAATTTTATCCACTCTTAAGAGATCCCTCAATTCCTCAAATTAAAAATCATATTTGTATGTCATATTTTCCACTTGAAAGGACTTTTATTTTATTTTATTTTTTTAGCTTATAATGTACCTGATTCCAGAAAGGTTTGAGCAGCCATAGTGATGCTTTGCCTTCAGTTTCTAATGAGAAATATAGGATCTGCATGATCACAAGTTACAATTTTACTTATTATTGACCAATATAGCTAAAGTAAATGCACAGATAAAAGTAAATTACTAGGTTATTTCTTGAAATAAATGGAAAGCAACTAAACAATGTGCTAATTCCATCCCCACCCTCCTTGGGAATCATTGCAGAAGGCATGGGGATGACACCTCTGAATATATGCATCTTTTGAGTCGTGTCATTCTGATCTCAAACAGACCTGTGGCCCCCTAAGCCTGGTGCAAAGCTGCCTCCAGGGGATCTCCCTTTACTACCATTCTGAGAATTTCCCTCACTTCCCCCTGTGCTGGATCTTCTCTTTTTCTGAGGCCCAAGCGTTTCTCTTTATCTCATTGTTTCCTTGTTTTGTTAGTGCGTCTCACTGCTAAGAAGGGATGTATGCTGGATATATTCCTCAGTATTGTGCATGTCTGAAAATGCTCTGATACCGTGATCACACTTTATTGACAGCCTGGCTCTTTACAGAATCATTGGATGCAAATCTGTCTCTTACAGAGTTTTGAGGCTTTGCCCCATGGTTGTCTAGATCCCAGTATTGGCTTGACGAATCTAAAATCGTTCTTATTACCAAAGGTCTCAAATTTCTGTGTTCTGAAATTTCACAATGACATGTCTATTTTGTCCACTGGGCTGGGAGCTCAATGGGCATTTTCATTTGGCTGGTCTCTACTTTCCCTTCTGAAAAATTTTCTAATGATTTACTTAGTTTTTTCATTCTTCCATTTTATGTCCCTTTTTTCTGGAATCCAGATGTTGGATATTCTGGGCCAGTCCTCTGATTTTCTTATCAAGAGATACTTCTTGCTTTGTCTTTTTGCTCTGTTCTTTGGAAGACTTTGTCAGTTTCAACTCCAAAGTTTTCCACTGAGATTTGCATTTTTACTCTCATGTGTTTCATTTTCCCAGAGCTCATTTTGGTTTCCTAAGCGATCCCTTATTTGTAGTATCCTGTTTTATTTATTTATTTACTTATAGACTTTGGGAATTGGGGGAGGTAAACAGCATTGGGGAATTGGGGAAGGGGAACAGACAAGTTGCTGTCCTTTTGTTCTTCAGCCTAGTTGTGGAGGATGTCGCTTCACTGGCCCATGTTGGTATTGTGATCATTGCACTCTTCCCTGGTGAGGCAGTTGCTTGCTGGCCACTGGATGGCCACTTACGGCGGCTCATGGCAGCTCACGAAAGCTCACGCCCACTGCCGGCCAGCCCCACTGCAGCCCCTCTGCAGCCTATGCTATTGCCTCAAGGGAGCCCAGCTCCAGGTCGAGCTGTTGTACACCATCTTAGCTGTAGAGGGCGCAGCATCACAGGCCCGTCATGTGGGGTCCGAACCCTGGCCCTACTGCTCAGAGCTGGCGTCCCAAGCCAGCTCTTAACCAATGTGCCACTCGGCCGGCCCTCCTATTCTTTTTCGAATAGATGCATTATTTTTTGGACTCTCTCTGGGTGTGTTAATGGTCTTTGTTGTTGTTGAAGTTTTATTTTTCCTGTATTATCTCTTTCCTTCCATGGTGCTTTTATTTGTTTGCTTATTTTGATCTCTCTTTTCTATGTTGGAGGCTTTTCTTAGGAAATCCTTTGCTGTCTACTCACATTTAGGATGGGGGACTAAACAGCTAAATGGCAACTTCATGGATGGATGGGGCTTGACAAATTTGAGATGTATTAAAGGGTGATCTAGTGTGGGCTATTTGTTGAAGAATCTTTGTATCAAATGTTTAGGTCTTTTCTATCAGTCTTTTCATATTTTTCCCTCTTTCCTGTCTGGAGAGTAAAGGTCTGGCAGTAGCACTCTAGAAGATGTAGAGATTCCACATTCAGCATTCAGTTGCTTTATCCCCCTGTCTTCAGTCAAGTACTCAGGCCTGTGACAATGTCTGGTGCCCCTCAGTCCAGAGACTATCTATTTTACCTGCTCTAGAAAATAAGCTTTCCACCTTTCACCAGGGGAAGGAAGGGGCAGTGTGGAATGAGGAAAGGGGTGTCGGAATTTAACTGCTTTCTGAGCAGCTTTTCACCAATCCTCCTTGTTTAGCACCCCATCTCGCTTTACCCAGAGTGCCAGAGATTCCTGTTGCTCTAGATGTGATGGTAAAGATCCCTTGCTAGCTTAGGATTCAACTTTCACAGATTTCCTAAGTCAATTATCATGGATCTTTCTGATTTCCAGCTTTCCTCTTTCCTTATCCTTGTAGATTTATGGCGCCGGGGTCGGGGGTTGGGGGGTGGGAAACACACCAAAAAACAAGCAAATGTTGGGTTGTCGAAAAAGTCATGACTCATTTTTTTCTATGTTTTTCGTTGCAAAAATATGTCATGACTTTTCCGACAACCCAATAAAATATTTGCTGTGGTTGTAGTGAGGATTCGGGAAAGAAAATGAGACACATGTGTTTCATCTGCCATCTGGAGTTCATGTTCTTTTGATTCTTCAAGGGCAACCGAGGTTGCATGTCTTCCAAAAGCCTGCTGAGACTGCTCCAGCATTCACTGGGATCTCCCCTCTCCAAGGCGCTCTAACCAGAATGAGGTGTATCAAGTAGTACATAATTGTATTGGGTCTTGTTTTGTTTTCCTCTGTTTTCTCTGGTTTCCTAAAACCAGACCATAAGCTTCTTGAAGGCCAGGGTTAAGATCTTGTTCTGCTTAAGATCTTGTTCTGCTTCTACAGACCTCACCCTGGGAAGACAACACTTAGCACTAGCAGCCACTGTAATATTTGTTTGTTTTGGTTTTTTTTCCAATTATGGTTGACATTCAATATTATTAGTTTCAGGTGTGCAATATAGTGGTTAGCTATTCATCTAATTTACAAAGTGATCCCTAAATCTATTACCCCCCTGGCACTATACACAGTTATTACAATACAATGTTATTAACTGTATTCCCTATGCTTGTCAGATGGGAGGGTGGTTGGGGGCTGAGTGAAAAAGGTGAAGGGATTAAGAAATACAAATTAGTAGTCACAAAATCATCATAGGGAAGTAAAGTAATACTTGTCGATTGCTTGATTTTCTGCTTCACAAGTAAGCTTGCCCTGACCATGCTGTAATGTTTTCCTCTTGACTCACCCAATCTCTCTCCAAAGATGCTCAAAACTGCATTTCAGGAAACAACATGATCCCCTAGGAAAATCTCAGGCAAATACCTTTTTCCAACTATGTTCTATATCATGCTTCTTTTTCAGGTGTTGCTATTTAGGCATTCCCTTTTTTTTTTGTTAAGGATGCTGTTGTTCTCAGACTCTCTACCCTTAGTCCCTCCAACCTCCTTACCTTTAAGATAGTAGGCCTGTATAAATTCTATAGGTGAGCGTGGTTTGCATATTATTATAAAATGAGTTTTGTTGCATGCATTGTTTTATATGGAGAGAGGAGGAATAAATGAGGAGACATGATAGTCACACTTTTTGTGGGAAATTATTTGTGGAAGTTTTAATGGATGCCATAATTTTTACCTAGGCAATACAGCAGGCAGAAGATGGGCTAAAGGAATTGGATGCAGGAATCATTGAGTTAAAAAAGCGTGCTGACAAGTTGCAGATTGAGCAGCCTTCCATGCAAGAACTCTCCAAACTCCAGGTACACTTTTCTACCAATAGCTTTTCAGTGATACATCCCAACTAGAAGTCAAGGAAAAAAATATTTTCTGTGTTTTTTTTGGTTTTACTCTATAAAATTCATATCATTTAAGTTCTAATCTCTTTTCCAAGTAACTCTTAGAAATTTTTTGAAATGTTTACCATGTTTAGTGCAATAAGATAGATTGTATGCTCATGCTTCTAAGATTATTATTACTTTTTCTGACATGTACTTTATTATTCTCCTGATGACTAAGCATTGTGGCATAGTTTCCTTGTGGTATATTATTTTCTACACTAGAAATATAATAATGATCAATTCAATCTAGAAAAGTTAAGAGGGATATCTGCTCTGTATTATACTGTACCTCCCAAAACTGTTGTGAATAAAAAATACTCAAGCTAATACTTTTTAGAAAATGTTTTCTCTCAAGTGTTCAAAACTACAGTTTATCTTTCATACATGTTTGAATGGAAGAGAGCTATAGTTTCAGTTCCAAAACAGCAACAAAAAATTAAACTAGAAGGTAGCTGAAATCTAAACAAACTTCCCAGCATCCTTCGGGTATAGAGAATAACTTTGGGTTAATTTGCTTTCCTAGATCTGGCAAGAATCTGACATCAGGGTGGTAGGGAGATACTTGGATGTTAGAAAAATTTAGTATTTGATAAGCAACATAGATAAGTTATATTAAGAAAAATTGTATACAGTGACACACACACACACACACACACACACACACACACACACACATTTTATCTGCACACCTTATTACCGACTTTTGAGGAATTGCTAGTATAAGTCCAGTACAGGGTCACAGGTTTTTTCATTTGAGAAAATAAAATAGCTCTTATTTTTAAAAGAACATTTTTATTTTAACTGTCTCAATCCATTATCGAACTTTTCACAATGTCATGAGCCCAGTGCCCCCACTTTGTCCCTCTATAGACAGTTTTCCAAAAGTGCTTAAATGTCAGGTGTAAGAGTCAAACGTCATAGCTGTAAATAGGCATTAAACTTGAACTTTTCCAGATTGAACATTTTTGGCCCGCTAGCCCTTAATGTGATACATTAATCAGGTCCATATGGCGCAAAAACGTTTGTGCTTGGTGTATCATCATCTCCCCAAATGTCTTTCCAGTTAAAATATTTGTTTACTTCACCACATTTGGCAAAAACATTGCCTTTTCAAGTCTTAAAGGCTTTGAGTTCACATTAAACTTCTCAGTTCCTCTAGCTTTTTATTTGAAGAATCGTCCCAAATCTGATTATTTAGCAGACGAAATGTTGAGGATGCTATATTCAATTACTCACAATTATGCAAGTACTGAACACATTATAAAAATCAGAATTACATTTGTTTTGACATTTCCCTCAGCCCCATGAACAATTTTTCAACATTTTAACCTCACATCTTGCCACAAACTATTGACATCCTGAGATGATAGTTGTCAAATCCACCTCATGTGTCATTTCCAGGCAATGTTTTTGCATATACTTTGGAATATTAAAAAAAAGAAATTAGCTTGTTATTTTAAAAGAAGTTTTTGAAGCGAGGATCCCAAGAAAGAAAGGCCATGCCCTATACGCAGAGCATCGCCGTAGGTGAGACACCTGAAGGGCGTCTGTGGTTGGAAATCAGGTTTGGTAGGTAATATGCTCGTGGAGAGGAGCCAGAGCATGGAGTGAGAGGGAATATGGCCGTCTCTGTTTCTTATGGCCGTCTCTGTTTCTTAGGACATGTATGATGAACTAATGGTAACCATTGGCTCTCGGCGGAGTGGACTGAACCAGAACCTTGCACTCAAGAGTCAGTATGAAAGGGCCATGCAAGACCTGGCTGACCTGCTAGAAACTGGGCGAGAAAAGATGGCAGGCGACCAGAAAATGATTGTGTCTTCCAAAGAGGAAATCCAACAGCTACTTGACAAACATAAGGTGAGAGAGAGAAAGGGGGTGGGGGGGAGGCGGGGAGAGGGAGAGAGAGTCAGAGAGAGAGAGAGAGAGAGAGAGAGAGAGAGAGTCAGAGAGAGAGAGAGAGAGAGAAGAGTGCACTCGTGAAAGCATAGTCTTACTTATTGATATGTATTTAGTAACACCTAATATGATCAATCTTTTAGGAGTTCCTACTTGTATAAGTTTATCTTTGAAATGGTCAAGAAATGTATACTCAAACCCACTGGTAGTTAATAGGACAGAATAATTATAGAGGATGTGTTCTATCATTACATAAGCTAAAAGAGAATATCAACCTTACCAGGCATTTTAATTATCAGTTTCTCACTAGTATTAGCCAGGCTTTCTCCCTTCCGACACTGTAATCAACGGGAAACATGGGGACTGTCTTTAGAGGAGCCCCGCTTCTTTGTTCATTTTGCTGTTTTCCTTTGTGCCCTTTTTGCCCGCTTGTTCACCGAGGCCTCGGTGTTTTCTGCCTTCCCTCGTCCTGGCCAGGGACCCCTCGCTGTGCTCTGGGATTGGGTTTCTGTCTCTTCCGCGCATCACTCCGCACTTCTGGCCCTTAAGCACGTGCTCCTTTAGTTGCTGTGGCCTCAAGAGTTTCCTCCTGGGGACAATGAGTCCTTTTACTACATAATCAAACTTCGTAGGCCTGAGATTTCTCTACCAATATGTGCCGTCACCAAGTTCAAGTTAGACACTACTCCTTAGTACTCCTTTAATGCTCCTTAAATGCACACACAAGGTAGCTCTTGCATTACTAGCAATCATTACAGAAAGAGCAGTTTTGCCCTCCAGATCCCCAGATTCCCAGATGATGGGAATTCCCTGCAGAGAAACTTAAAAAATCCCATTGGGTTATGCACAGTTAATTCTACCATTTTGTAGCTTTCTCATGATTGTAAAGGTGAATTTTTTTTTTTGAGTTATACTTCTTGCTATTTTTCCCAGAGTTTTCTGTCCAAAACTTTGTGATTTATTAACGCCTTATCATTTGGCTTTGAAAACATTGCTTTAAAGTTCACAGCTGGGTTTTCTCAAATGTGAGGCCATAGTCATAAAATACCCTCCTGAGTTATTCCAGAGGAGAAGCTAGGATCAATGAATATAAATAACAGAGAAATAAAACTCAATAGACGAAGAATTTTAAACAGAGTAGGCTGCCATTGAACAGACAGCCTTCTTGGTCATGAGAAGTCCGTCCAAGGCTGTCAGGGGGAGATGGGGTTGTAAAAGGAATATTAGCTTTCAGTGAATATTGGGCTAAATGACCTCGAAGTTCTCGTCCAACTTGAAGATCCCATGATATAATAATTGCCAGTTAAAAATAATGTTTCTGTCTTCTACTGGCCAGACCATTTTCTGAGGGAGAGCTCTGCAGTGAACCTTAAGCAGGTTGCATAGCCTGGGTGGGTCAGTGTCCTCATCTGTGAAATGGTAAATAAGTCTACTCACCTCATAGAGCTGTTACAAGGATTAAATGAGTTAGTAAAGTGTTGATGGAGTGCCCGGCACATAGCACACGCTAAGTATTACTGTCAATCCTCAGTCCTTCGGTTCTGCCCATGGTGCTGGAAACAGGATATGGGAGTGGCCCTATCTCCCTTCTCTCTGGTACCTTTTACACATAAAAAGTAACATTTCAAAACGCAGTTGTAGCATTGTGCAAGGCCTGCAGTTCTGTTGTGTGTAGGTATAATACGAGGGAAATTTTAAAATGGATAGTACCAGTCAGTATGTGTCAGGCTGTGCTTGGCAGTAAGTAGTAAGCAAAATAAATGCTTTGGGAATTCAGAGACGTTAAAGCTCAAGCCCAACCACAGAGGAAGGAAGTTGTGGATGGATTAAGTGAGGTCACCTCAGGAAGCACAGAGTGTAAGCGGAGGCCAAAGATGGGGGTGAGGGGGTTAACATGTTCAATGGACAAAGGAGGCCTGTCAGTGAGACGCATCGGGAGAGTGAGGAAACCCAGATGGCACAGGGATGAGGAATTTGGAGGGCAGGGGAGTTGATCAGCAGCTGGTAACATAGGAAGGGCTCTGTTCTGGGCACAGAGCACCTGTTGAGTGTGTAGGTGCACCTGAGCGGACCATGAGGCCGGTGCGGAGACTGGAGCCCTGCGTCTGCAGGAAGCGGCGAGTGTGCGGGTGCGGTGCAGGCCGGCAGGGATGGAGCGATTTTGCTCCTGTCTCAGCTGAGTTCTGTCAGCTTCCTCGTGTGAAGCCATTTTTGCTGTGAGGTAGCATGTGAATGAGTTGCTGACTTCTCTCTACCTGAAAAACAATTGCAGGAGTACTTCCAGGGCCTGGAATCTCACATGATTTTGACTGAAACGCTCTTCCGAAAGATAATCAGCTTCGCGACCGGACAGGAAACTCAGTTGCATGCAGAAGTGATGGCGCAGGCTTCGGCAGTGCTAAAAGGGGCTCATAAGAGGGGTGTGGAATTGGAGTACATTCTAGAGGTGAGACTCTTGATGTAGCGCCTTCCCTACAGCAGACTCCCAGCTGCGAAACACACCACTGGGGCAAGACACATGTGCCTGTGCCATCGCCCCGCACAACCTGGAGACTCTCGGACTCAGCACCCCATGTTGCTTGTCCCTGCTGTATTTCCTATTTATATTTCGACAAAAGCTGTGCCACATGGTGAGTCAGCCTATGAACACTGACTTGAGACGGGTCCTGATGATACGTGAGGTCTTTTTGATAGTCAGGCTGAAAAACTGCTGACTTTTGATCTGAATTTTTTTTTCAGTTTATAATATGCTTTTTCTATTATTTTTTTACTGTAATTCCATTTTTTCTGCTCTACAATATGGACAAAGACTTCAAATGATTGAAAACAGGATTTTCCAATTTTAAAGAAAATAAAAATCTGAATTAAGGACATTTGAGAGTTCTCCTCCATAGGATGTTTATGCTATATATTCATAGTTCTTAAATGTCTGTTTTGTTTTTTTTTTTAATTTGCAAATGTGGTGCATTTAGTTCACTTACTACTTGAGGTAAACACGCCCGTTTGATGTATGTCAGTCATGCGTTCATCTTGGCTGGAGTGCGGAGTGAAACCATGCAGTCAGATGACTGCTGTGCTGCCGGCGCACTGTACACATTATTCCTTTTAATCCTCGTGATGGAAAAGATAGGCATTGGTGTCCCTATTTTTTAATGTTGAAATGGAGGTTCAGAGAAGTTTGAACTCTTGCCCACGCTTGTTTAGTAACTATAGCTTACGATGCTAGCTAGTCGCCGATGCCGCGGCCTGTTCACTCTGCTTCTCAGGGTCACCATCTGATTACTGGCCCCAGAGCCATGTTTTGCTTCCCAAAGCAACCTCCCAGCACATGCATCTCCGACATAACTTTAAAGAGAACCTGTCCAGTGCATATTTTGCACACAATGAGAAAGGCTGTCCCTTAATGGGGGTTTTTAGCTCACGGATGGATGTTGTGTTTCTAGACATGGTCGCACCTGGATGAGGACTACCAGGAGCTCAGCAGACAGCTGGAGGTGGTGGAAAGCAGCATCCCCAGTGTGGGGCTGGTGGAGGAGAGCGAGGACAGGCTCATGGATCGGATAACACTCTACCAGGTCAGCCTCCGGATGGCATCTCGGTGGGAGAAGTGGCCCCATGTCCTTTTGAAACTTCCCCATGCTTTTAAACTGTATCTAAACAAGCTTGCAGTCAAATATTGTATTAAGTACTTTTATTTCAAGCTATTGACCTTGTTGAAAGCTGATAAATTCTAAGTGTTTTATAATACAACATAAGAAGGTATTTCTTTGTTTTTTTTAATGAGAGCTTTTTTTGAAAATTCAGCCTCCACCAAGCATTACTATAGTTTATACTCATGTCACACTATCTTGAAATAATTATACTTTGTTGTTTTATAATAGAGCATTAAGAAGGTTTTTTGTTTGTTTGATTGATTTTCAATGAGGGAGAGAGAGCTCTTTTTGAAATGCTTCCACCAGGCATGTTTTGGAGTTTAAGCTAGTGTCACACTATTCTTGAAATAATTATAGTTTGACAGTTTCAAATGCACATAAAGTTACTACCAAAAAAACCCCCAGAAAAACGGACATCTGTACTTAGATATACAATAGGTGGAGCATCTCAAAGTTTCCAGCGTTGCTTGGGTGCATATAGTTGAAGTTTAACTAAGGGTGATGGGACTACTGTGCGCACCAGAGAAATGGTAATTCTTAAAGAAAAATATGGCATGATCCAAATTTTGACCCAGTATTTTTAATCTTTTTAGCATTTGAAATCCAGCCTTAATGAATACCAGCCCAAATTGTATCAGGTGCTAGATGACGGGAAACGACTTCTGCTATCCATTAGCTGCTCAGATCTAGAAAGCCAGCTAAACCAACTTGGAGAACATTGGTTAAATAATACCAACAAAGTGTCTAAGGAACTTCACAGATTGGAAACAATATTGAAGCACTGGACCAGGTAATACAATGATTGTTTTGCAAATTTTTAGATTAGTGCTGCAGAGTGTTTATAAGGATAATAATGGGTATTACGGGACTTGAAAAAGATACGGTCGTGCTAGAAACTTATCGTGAAGTTTGCAAAATAAAGACAAACACAAAGTCCCCAGCTGGATTCCTGTATAATTGTATAAACATGTAATTAAAAGTGGGGAGTAAGGCAGGTATCTTACCTTGGAGTTGTCACCTCCCTTGCCTATTGACTACTCATGGTGGGTCACAGTAAAACTTTAGAAGGAAAGAAAGAAGAGAAAGTGCTTTGGAGAAGGTGACGTTTCTCGAGAGCAATGGAAAGTATTTAAGAGGGGTGAAGGGTTACTTTGACTTAACGGAATACTCTATTTCTGTGCCACCTCTACTCCTAAGAAGTTTTAATAAAAATCATCTAATATTGTCTGAATAGCCTCAACAGGGAGGAGAGAAGACATATTTTTATTTTCAGCTTAGAGGTGGGAAAGCTGAAACTTGGCATAAATATTAAGAGAAGAGAATTTGAGCGTTTCAACCCAGGGTATTATTTGCCCAAATCTATCCTGTCTCCGTTTAAAATTAGCATTGGTGAATAACGTGGGTTAATAGGAAGTAGGGATTGGATGTTTGTTTAATAGGCTCATTAATATACTTACAGATATCAAAGTGAATCTGCAGCTCTAAGTCACTGGTTACAGTCTGCAAAAGACAGGCTAGAATTTTGGGCTCAGCAATCTGTGACGGTCCCACAGGAACTGGAAATGGTCCGTGACCATCTGAATGCTTTCCTGGTAAGCCTGAGAATCTAAAGCATTTGATTTGCCTTTATTGTTTAAGGGCTTATGGGTAAGGCCTGACCTGCACCAGTAAAAAGGAAACCAGCTGTCAAAGGAGAGACTTAATGAACCAAGCTCCAGATGATCTGACAGTGTTAAAACTATATGTATTGAATAGATATGCAGAACTCTAGGGCTCAACACTGCCTCTTTTAAGGTGGTCTTCAAGTAATGGCTTCACTGTTGGCTTTCATTCAGGGATTTTGTTTTCTTTAGAATGCTTAGCCCAGCGCCCCTTTGAGATGTAAAGAAAACTTGTTTATGCAATAAATGGATCTCTTTCCTAAAATGAGTGGTCTGGCTAGTTAATCCTGATCTGAACGTTGCTGCTTCTCTTAGGAGTTTTCCAAAGAAGTGGATGCCAAATCGTCCCTAAAATCATCTGTTCTGAGCACCGGAAATCAGCTTCTTCGATTGAAGAAAGTGGACACAGCTTCCCTGCGTTCTGAGCTGTCACACATTGACAGCCAGTGGACTGACCTGCTGACAAATATTCCCAATGTCCAGGAAAAGCTCCACCAGGTATACAAAGAGTCATTGGTTTCATTGGCAGTGATTAATTTCAGGAGTACAAAACGGAAAATCTGCTTTTGCTCACCAATTCGAATCAGCTCTGCCTTGGACGTGCTGTCGTCTCTCGCTTCTACTGTATTGCAAACTAAAAGTGAACCATTCCACAAATGCCATCTCTACAGATGCCATTTGTCGTGTGTGTGTGTGTGTGTGTGTGTGTGTGTGTGTGTGTGTATTGGGATCCTTGTCTGGTCTTGTTTAATTTCTTTATTTTCTCATGAGTACAATGTGGATAACTGCACCTGCCTCATAAAGTGAGTTGATATGAAGATTTAATAACAATAAATGTAAAAGACCCATAATCGGACCTATAACAGCAACTGGCAAGAGAAGCAAGAGAAGTCAGGACCTCTCTTTTCTGGAAATATGCTTTTCCCTCTCCCCTGAACTCCCAGATATTCTGTCTTTCTCTCTCATTGCCATTCATCACTGTATACAAGGTATGATAGGTATGCTTAACGTAAATGTCTTACCCAATTAATCAGCTATCTCCTTTTGTAGAGGAGGGGAAATATCTCACCTGTGACTCTATATCATTCTGCACCACATACAAGTCCATAAGTATTGTAAACCATTGCTTTGGTTCCTCCGCATCGTTATAATAAGTATCTGCATAAATGTATGATGTATTAAGTAAGATTCAGAATGGTAAGTATATTTTCGCTAAAGACTGAGGAAATTGGCTGTGCTCTTTGGAATAAATGTTAGAGTGCCAAAAATCTAGAAAATGATAGTTTGTAGTGTGGTATTTTTCTTTCTTTTTTAACATTCCTCAGTCATAATACACAGAGATTTTACAAGATAATTAATAAAATACATCTGTTGAATGTTTTGTAGTTAAGTTTTTTTAAACTCATAAAATGAGCTATAAAATAACAATCATATTTTCTTCTTGCTGGTGTTTTGATTAATTAGCTAATATTTATACAACGTTTATAGTATTGCATGTCAAGTGAACATAAGATGACTATTATTGTTCAATGTTTGCCTGATGTTTAATTCCAAGCTTCTAATGAGGGTAAGGTCCAAAAATGTCATTAAGAAGTGTTATCTCTGATGGTACATTAATAAGTATTAATGTAGGGTTTTTAGGTTAACAGAAATTGGGTTTGGATTTTAATATTTGTGACTCTTTCCCTGTCTTACTCTTGGCAGCTGCAAATGGATAAGCTACCTTCTCGCCACGCCATTTCTGAAGTCATGACTTGGATTTCTCTCATGGAAAATGTCATTCAAAAGGATGAAGAAGATATAAAAACTTCCATAGGTTCAAAGGCCATTCATGAATACCTTCAGAAATATAAGGTAATTCAACATTTTTTTTTTACTTTTAACTTTTCATATTTTAGGACTATTTTATTCTAAGGAACTAAAAAAATTAATTATGGAAATCAGGTCTTGAAGTATATGCTTCATACTTAGTGATGCCAGGTAAGTGTACAAGGGTAAGAAAAGTACCTCCCTAGTTATAGGCGTAGAAAAGTTGTCCAGTCTTAGGAATGATTCTAAATAAGATTTTGTGTCATTTTAAGAAATATTTAAAAAATACTGTAATTTCTGTAATTTATATATACTCTTATAGTGAGACTATACAATTTATCCAATCCTATGCCCTCTGCCTAATATATATATATATATATATTTATATTCATGTTTATGAATTCAAATTCAAATATATTTATAAGTTCAAAATTTATACAATTAATTTGTATTTATATGTTTAAATTTTTAAATATATATTCAGCTTCTGAAAATGAAGGCTTGTATGAACACACACAAATTGTGTCATTTGGACTAAATCATGGAAGTGATGATATTAACCCTGAGGTTCCTTAGGGCTTTCCAAACTCCTGATCTAAAACGTAAGACATTTATTTGCATGACCTTGTTTTTTTTAATTCCCCCCTTCTCTTTTTAGGGTTTTAAGATAGACATTAACTGTAAACAGCTGACTGTCGATTTCGTGAACCAGTCTGTGCTACAGATCAGCAGCCAGGACGTGGAAAGCAAACGCAGCCATAAGACTGATTTTGCCGAGCAACTTGGGGCGATGAATAAAAGTTGGCAAATCCTGCAGGGTCTAGTAGCTGAGAAGGTAAGCCGAGTGGCCTCAGCTGTCCATGTTGCATGAAAACTCCAAGGACAGGGACACTCTGTAAAGAAAGCTAATTTCATGAGCAGTGTAGCTGTGCTGGGCTCAGGGATGCTGCGGAAAAGGTGCCACAGAAGGTTGCATCGCTCTAAACGTTCGTTAGTCATGGGGATTATTCTGTTTTATGTGCCCTCCACTCTTGGTATATCTCATATTGTTTTAGTTCTTTCAAGGTACCTCTTAATTTCTTTTGCCTTCACTTCAAGTTGTGCTTACCAAAAATTGTCGCTGATTCTCACTTTGTAGCGTTCATTTTTAATCAGATAGACAATGGATTCAAAATTTTAAGAATTCTCAATTTGGAGGAAATTGTGGCCTGCCAATTGATTGGAATTTAACATAAAATTGCAAATTTCTTTGTGTTTGCTCAGATTCAGCTGTTGGAAGGCTTGTTGGAATCTTGGTCAGAATATGAAAATAATGTACAATGTATGAAAACTTGGTTTGAAACCCAGGAGAAGAGATTGAAGCAACATCATCAAATTGGAGATCAGGCTTCAGTTCAGAACGCCGTGAGAGACTGTCAGGTAACCGGTCCCAGTGGGTAACACGCTATATTTCACAATTTCACGGCGTATGCCGAAGGAGTTAGCTTTTCTTGAGAACTGAGAGTTAAATATTGAAAAACGTTTCTTTTGGTAAGAAATTCCTCTGGTTCTGTGAGTTTATAGAATTTTTCTAAACTGTTTTTATAAATGTCGAAATTGCAAGTTTTTTAAACACACTTATAAGTAGAGAATGCTGCTCACCCCCATATATACTGATCACTAGGTTTAATAACTATCAAGATTTTGACACATTTACCTGAATTGTTTCTTTTCATAAAGATTTCATAATGAATCTCAGACATGACGTTATTTTTATTCCCTCATGCTATATATAACACACAGCTCTGAAAACTTGACTTTTCTTATAAAGCCATAATATCATTATCACCAGAAAAAATATAACAGTGATCCCTTAATATTATTTAATGCTCAGCCCATACACTGTTTTTTCAATTACCTTTGAAATCTATTTTTTTCACTTAATTTATTCATGTAAAGACGCAACAGTGTCCATTTGCTACATTTGCTTGTTAGATCTCTTAAATCTCTTTAATATTTTTCTAATACTATTAACTTGTCATAGAAACTGTAGACTGGACCCAGGTTCAGGATCAGCCTGTGTACTTCCTTAAGATATCATTGAACTTGCCCTTCTCTCTCCAGTATTTCCTACAAATGGGAGTTAGTGCTTGAGGCTTTATTGGATTCTGGTTCAACCCTAATGAGCGAGTGCTTCACAGGTGACAATGTTACTTCCCGCTGTGTCACATGGGGGAGCACTCAGCAGTGCCTGCTTGTTCTACTGTTAGTGATAAGTAAGGATCACGGGTTCAGGTAGAGTGGGAATACTGTAAATGCTTTCCAGTGACTTAGGAACACTTAATATTTCCTCAGGTATTCTTTATACAAAAGAAATGTGAGCTATTACAGTTAACGCTGTAATACGTTTTGAATAGCTCACTAATTTGAAATGTGTTATAGATTAGCTGTGATGCTGCTCTGTAGTGTTTTCTAAGAACAATTGAAGACTCAACTGTGAAGTAATTCTGCAGATATATGCTCCTTTCCCCAAGCTTGTTTTCACATTCTAGATTTCGAAAAGTAAGGCCTTTAGTAATGAACTTCCTTCCAAGCAGCATTTTTTTTCTGTGGGGCCCATGTAAAGTGGGATGTATCTAAGCTCTCAATGAGAGCTTTTTGGTTCAGAAAAGGGAGACCAGATGTTCTTGTGCTGGGTTGACAAGCTAATGGATTGCAATTTTGAGGGTGTGTAAAGATGGCAGAGAATACCATCATATATTAATAGAGAAATACTTGGAAATAATAATAAAAAATAATGCTTCACATCAGAAGATGGGTGTGTAAAAGATGGAAGGCCAAAAACATACATCACTGCTTTTTCCAATTTTCTAGGGGCCAATAGCATTTCTAATTTAGGCCATCAATTCTGAAATGTACAAATAAGCCAGGATTTCAAAATTTCACTTTGAAGGATGAGTTATGGTTCTTGATGAGTTCCTAAGTTAAAATGTTTCCATTAAGATGAAAAGATAATTTAAGTGTTAACGTTAGCAAGGTTAGTGCTTCCTTGTTACAGTGTTGTGATATACTTTACTATTAAAACACTGAAATAATACATTACTATAACTTTCCTTTTCCTTTTTTTAACCCCCCCCTACATTTTTTTCTCTTTCTTACTACTTTCTTCTTCTCTTTAATTACTTTTATTCTGCCATTTTCCATTTGCTTCTCTTCATGTACATGTTTTCTATTTAATAAAGAGAGACATTGCTACCTGGAAAGTGTAGCAGAGGCTTGGCCAAGTTTTACTCCTTTTGGGACCCAAATTTTAGTCTCCCAGAGGGTCACACCAAGCAGGGTCAAAAAGGAAAGCTTGATGTGTAGTTTAAAGAACTTTACCAATACCAGTTTGTGACTTCACATGAAATGTCATTTTTTTGAAGCCAAAAGCAGAATGAAAGTAGCCCACACAATTGTTTTGGGGCATCACATATAAATCACAGTAGCCTAACTGCAGGCTCTGTTTGGCAGCATCACGAGCCTTGATAAAAATTTATTGTCATTTTTGAGAACTTGTTCCTTTGGACAAAAGTGTGAAATTCAAGTCAGCATACTTAAATCGGCAACTGGATCCAAGCTTTATTTTGTTTTAAAAATCTTGAATATATTCCCACTCTTTCTGAGGTGATTTATTATTTTAAACCAACATAAAAACTGACGTTCGTGAATTAACTCAAGTTAAGAATGATTTATTGTAGCAAGAAATGTTAGGTTTGGCTTTTCCCTTCATTGATCAGAAGGAGAATCATCTTTTAATTATCATCGAAAGGCAAGGAAAACACACCTTCGTTTTGCACGAAATATTATGTATTTCAGTCCTGGTTCCGTCCTGGGTGTTGCTTTTATGCCAATATAAATGTGCAGAGCATTTTAGAGATGTGTTTCTAAGCAATGGATCATTAATTTAATATTGCTCACTGAAAAAAAGTTAACATCTATGGGTAAATGAGGATAAATTTAACTCCAGTGTTTGAATTTTAGAATCATATTAAATTTATGTTGGAAGAATTATTGACGGTTATTTAATCTTTGGAGAAGTACAGAAAAATATCCTTAAATAGTACAAAGTACAGAAAAATACCCTTAAATAGTAAAGCCAATTACGTTTTCTGTACTGCATAAAGGACCTGTAACCATAGTAAATCACTATATTCATTCTCTGGTTAATTACGTAATTCTAAGCTGTCAAAATATTGATAAAATCATAAAGTGGAAATGAAAGAACAATATTAAAAGCACAAATGATCTCTTCAGGCTACCTAATGCATGAATTTCTAATTAAAACATCAAGACAAAAATAGCTTCATGATAATGAAGGAGAGAAAAATAAATAAATTTGCACTGAAGCATGGTAGATTACCAAATGACGGAACATGATAATACTGTCTTCCACTTGCCTAATTTTTGACAGCTTAAAAGATATTTCCTGTATTTATCTAATGTTATCCCTTTGAGGTAAGCAAATATATTAGTAATCCTATTAAAAATGAGGTAAAGAGTGATGAAGAGGTGGGGTCACACAGAAACAAAAATAAGAGAGTCACAATATTTATAACTAATGCAGCAGAGAGGGGCCCCTCTCTGTACCCTATCAGCGCACTACACATGTCCCCAATCTTGTTTTCTGTGTGTGGATCATGAGAGGGAGGTGGCAGTGTTTTTTACAGAATTGAGACATTATCCAAACTTAAAATAGTTTAGAATTTTCTTCACTCTAACCCCAGTGCCTACACATCCACACGTCTTGTTCTGGGGTGCACTTATGAACATGAGACTATAACCGTGCCAATAGTGTACAACTTCGCACATCACCCCAGCGTGGGATTGACATCTCCATAGTTCATGCCCTGGTGTCTCACCACCAGCACTGGGCTGAGGATCAGCAAGCCCAGAAGATTGGGTTCTGACCCCACCGCCAACCTCACCAGCTCTGTGACCTGAGACAGCTTGTGTGACTTGATCGCCCACTTATTCCTCCATAAAATGGTGACAGCAGTCTCAGCCCGCCTCACTGAGCTGTTCAGATTTTCAAATGCTGTTAAAATATGTTAGGATTATGATGTATGCTTAAGTATGATCTCCAGGCCATTGCTTCATTTTATTTTATTTTTGAACATTTCATACTGACTGTTATAAAGGCACTTCCCCCCAAAATGAAGATTTGATTCATGGAAAAGCCTATAATTTTTTAGAGTCACATAGAATCAGAGTATTGTAGAGAGAAATAAGGGATAATAGACATTCTGAAGAAACTGAGACAGTGGAAGTTTGTAACTTACCCAGAGTGGCACAGATTGGCTGTAGCAGAAATGTAACTAAATCTCAGATACCAGGCTCAGAATATCACTTATTCTATTGTATTTCACCCTATGCGCTAGGATTGGGTACCTTTTCCAACACCAAGATACATGAATTTCAGAATATAGTCATGTTACCATTTCCGACATTTCTTTCCTTGTAGCTTTTTGAAAAAAGTACATGGTGCCAGTTCTTTATCGGGTAATCAAATTTTACCTTTTTTTTTTAAAGTTATGCTCATTTCTCATGGAATAAAAAGACTATTTGAAAAAATTTAAATGTAGGAAGAAGTTTCACTGTAGAGATGCTCTCCTGAGAATACGTTTCTCGGATCAGTGAAAGATTTTTAGGATATGAGCCTCTAATGGCTTAATTTCAACACACCCCAGAGTTCCATCACAGAACAATTTAAAGTGACTTTTTTTAAATATATCTTTCAGGATCTAGAAGAGTTGATTAAAGCAAAAGAAAAAGAGGTAGAGAAAATTGAACAGAATGGACTTGCTTTGGTTCAGGACAAGAAAGAAGTGTCTGACGTCGTCGTGAGCACGCTACGAGAGCTCAGCCAAAGCTGGGCAAACCTGGACCACATGGTAATGCTGCTCGTGGAGAGCTGGCTCCAAGACCATTTGCCATCTCATGTCCACCCATGACATGGGTGTTGGTTTCCTAAAATAACTGAGTAACTAAGTACACATCTATACATCATCTCTTTTTACTGTGAAGTTCACATTATCAACCTTCTTTTGAAAGTCTAGCTTTGGGTATTTTCTATAACAAACATGATGGCGAACATTACTGTCTTAATAATCTCATCCATTCCCATGTCTGTAGATACCATCTAGGCACAGGCAATTCTCCAGTGTGTATCCCCAGCCTGGAATTCTGTTCTAAACTCTAGATAGACACAGACAGAGCCACAGAGCGAAACCTAGCTCGTAGATATCTCCTCTTGCATGACCAGTCGACATCGCAAACTTCCATGGCCTAAGCCCCTCTTGCTCTCCCCCCACAAACTTTCGCTTTCCACCATCTCCGTTAATGGCAGCTCTACCCTTCCAATTGCTTGTCCAGAAAGCCGTGGAGTCATTCTCTTCTCCTGTCTCGCGTACCCCGCATCTAGTCCACCAGCAATCTTGTCAGCACTATTTTCAGAACAGCTCTAGAATCTAACCTCTGCTCCTGTCCCGGCAGCTGGCAGCTGGTCTGAGTCACCAGCACCCCTCGCCTTGGTTATTTCAGTGACCACCTGAATGGTCTCCATGCCAGCGAGGTCCTGTTAACATGGAAGCCAAGTCACACCAGTCCTCTACTACCTCCACCTCCACCCCTTCCCCCAGTAACTTCTTTTCTCATTCAGAATGAGGCCAAAGCCTGGTGAGGGCCTGAAGTCCCACATGACCGGGCCTCCCACGATCTCTCTGACCTCGCCTCCTGCAGCTGCCCCACGGGTTCATTTCATTTCTCACCTCCTACTCTTGAACTCAATGGACATGTTTCACACTCAGGACATTGCACTGGCTTCCGCCTCTGCCTGGAACACCTTCTTGCAAATATCCACATGGGCCACTTCCGTTCCTCAAAGTCTTTGTTCAAATTCGCCATCCCAGTGAGCGTTTTCCTGACCACCTTGTTTTAGATGCTACGCACCCCTCACTTCATAGTCCCTGACTCTCTTCTCTGCTGTGCTTTTATCTATATTATTTGTCAACTTCTGACATACAGTATAGTGCACGTACCTATTTAATTGTCTCTCACTCAAATGTAAGCTCTATGAAGACGTTGGCTAAATATGTGCTGAATGGAGCATTGAGTCCTCCAATAAGAGAATGCATGTAACAGATACTGCCCTGCACACACCTGTACAAGTAGTTATTACCCACATTTTAAGATGGGAGCTGAGGCACAAGTAGGTTAAGTGACTGAGGCCAATGGTGTACAGCAAACAGCTTCTCACAGCCCATGTACTCTTCTCCAACTGCAGCGTTCCAGTCTATCCTTACCTTGTTTTTAACCTGATGTAAATTTATTTTATTTTATGCATTTTTATAAGTCATCACAAATCTCTGGAAATAATTTACCATATAAGTCAACTGAATGCTCTTTCACAGCAACATCTTCTCGTAAAAAAACAAACAAAATAATACAAAGAAGAAATAGACCACTTAAAAATTCTCATTGCTTCCTTGGCTTCATTTTCATGTCTCTTCCTGACTCTCACAGGGTAGATAGGCCCTGGCACCTGTCTGTACCTGTGGGCACTGCCTCCTTTCTGAGGCAGCCCTTTCTTAGTCCTGTGGCCCGCAAGATACTATCCTGATTGGTTTCAACATTTTTTGTTTATGCTAAGAAGACAAGCAGAGAATGCAGGAGCAAATGGATTTATATGGTCTCTTATTACGGCCACACTTACTCCATATTCAAAAGATTACATTCAGAAGATTAGGAATGACATCCAGGAAGTCCAAAGCAGATATCTTTCTAAATGATACAGACAAACTAAAACCTTAACATTTTCTGTTTCAGATAAGTATAGGGAAAGAGTGTTCTTAGATGTTTTGTTGTAAGATAATCATTTGTGCGTATGTGCATGCACACATATGTGAGATAGATAGATAATAGATAGATAGATAGATAGATAGATAGATAGATAGATAGATAGATAGTCTGTCATTTCCTGGGACCAGTTTTGCCTAGAATCAAATCTAGATCTCTCACATTCTAACAGTATGATCCCAGGTGATTTTTGTAACCTCTTTGTGCCTCAGTTTTCTCATCTATAAAATGGGGATAATGGTTATACCTACCTCATAAGGTTGTTATGAAGAATAAACGAGTTAATGTACTAACTAAAACATTTATTTCCTAAATGGTGGTATTAAATATACTGACCTTTTATCATTTTTATATTATATAGATATAGAATATATATTATGTATATAGATTACATATATAGCATTTGTAAGCATTTTAATTTAACCTAAGTATTCAAAAGTGTGAAAGGCATCAATTTCAACATGGCTACATCTATTCAAATCTTTTTTGTGTTTTCGTTTGGGTTAATTTATACTGCCTGAAATCCGATGAACTTCTTAAGTGTTAATGTTTTTCCCATCAATTGAACATTTATTCCATACTTTTAAATGCTGTCTAATTCTAGGATGTGTCTGTCTCTTTCAAAAGGTTGGGCAGTTAAAGATACTATTGAAGTCTGTGCATGACCAGTGGGGCCATCACAAAGTGGCCTTTGACGAGATAAACAGTTGCCTCATGGAGGCCAGGTACTCTCTCTCCCGGTTCCGTCTGCTGACCGGCTCTTTAGAAGCTGTGCAAGTTCAGGTAGAAAGTCTTCAGGTAAGGAATGTATTCAACATACTCTTAACATGCTTTTTAATTTGAGAATAATTTTAAAAAATAGCAACTGTGGGCATTAACACGCTGGAAGATTGCTGTATACTGTTTCCACTTATTTTTTAAATCTTTAAAATTAATTTTACCTGCTGTATTCGGGGTTTTTTTGTTTTGTTTTGTTTTTGTTTGTTTGTTTGTTGTTTTTGTTTTTAGCTGAGCCATCCTGCCACCTATTGGCAGCTCAGCTCGGGCCGGGAATCGAACCGCTGTTGCTCAGAGCTCACACTCTTGAGTGAGCTCTTAACCAATTGAGCCACTCGGCCAGCCCTTTGTATTTGTTACTCATTCAGATTTGCCAGTGTTTACTGAATTCTGGATTAGCTGATCTATAACTAGTGATTTTAAAAATTCTATCATATAAATATCCACGTGAATGTATTTTATAAAATGATTTTATACCTAGATCAACCTTGTTGATCCATTGTTGCTGCCTTTTGTGTCTCTCCTTTCTCTTTTCCTCCTGCTTCTCCAAACATATTCTAAGGTATTAAAAAGGAGACAAAGAGAAAAAATAGCAAAAGCGGTAAAAATTTTAAACTGTTAAGTTGTTTTCATGTAGCATAATATCAGTGGTCTAGCTAAATGTGTACACGCAATCCTCTTTTTCTAGCACTCGCTGCTTGGTTCCCTGTGTGCCTGTTATCATTGTTTTCATCCAGAAAGACATGGCCGCTGTTTGACTTAAACACAGCACTCCATCCCCGGTCACTGCCCTCAAATTAGCTGCTGCCCTCACTTCCCTGCATACCTGGGCACTGGGCACTCTCACCTGCCACTGCTCTTTGTCCCTGGCTAAATAATGTGGACCATGAGATGGGCAGGGCAGGCCCTTGAGAGACAGAATGCCAGCAAGAGCCCAGCATCTACGTCCCTGGCTTGGCAATCAGAGTTTGTATGCGGCCGGCCTCCCATGCAGCTTCTGGAGAAATGCCTTTTCTGAGGGTATTGAGGCAGGACGGAGGAAGGATAAAATGTGTATACATATATAATTGCTTTAAACCTTAAATAGTTGTTGCAGATACTGAAAATCATTAAAACTTATTTTTAGAATAGTAAGTTTAGAAACACACTAACTTTGAGGAAGTGAAAAGCACGCTTTAATTTAGCCTGTCCTGTGTTCAACACCTGCAAATACTGTCTAAGAATATGAAAGAATTCAGGTCCTTTTCTTTGCGTATTTTGATTGGAAGGCAATCAGATATCGGTGTTCAATAGCATTGGGTGTTTGTAGCCTACTTCACCTGTGGAGTTTTATTAAGAATTGAGTATCGCACAGCAATATTTCCAGGGAAATATAACTTTTCAAGTTCCTTCTCTGGTCCTTGATAGAAAACTCTGCCCATCGAAGAAATATCCTTTGCAAAAGAACACCCACAATAGAACTTAGAGATGGTACTCAGAAAAGCCATGACTTCTCAAAGTCTAACTATCGGGAGTTTCTGATAGAACAACTCAGTACGTAGTGAAACAAAGGCCTGGGTTTTGCCTTCGAGCAGTAAAGAGAGCCACAGCGTGGCAGACGGCATGCACCCCGCCACCATAGCTCCTATAGACGCTGGTGGAGGACACCCTATGTGAGCTTTCCCGGTGGGATTCCAGATGCCGCTGTGAGAGGCTTAATTGTTAAGAATCCCCTCTCACACCCATAAGAACAAAATCGCAAAAAGAAGACATGATTAATCTAAAGAAAGCTTATAACGTGTTGGAGGAAAGTCATGGTTTATTTATTCATATGTGCGTATTTATGGAAACAGAAATTGCTTTTAAACTTATTTATTAGAATTTAGATCCTGTCATTTTATCTGTGACATTTTTTCTTTGGGCAGAATCTTCAAGATGATCTAGAAAAACAGGAAAAGAGCTTACAGAAATTTGGCTCAATCACCAACCAACTATTAAAAGAGTGTCACCCCCCTGTGACAGAAACTCTAACCAATACATTAAAGGAAGTCAATATGAGGTAGGAAGCATGTTAACTTTACACTGTTATGAATGCCTTCTATCACATCTACATTACAAGCACATAATGACCCAATTCAAACTTCCTAGCGTTTTGAATTTGAGCTTTATAAATTCTATTCTATTGATGTTTAAATGTTTCACAAAATGAATTTAATGGTAAGTGAATGCAGCGAAGATATTTAGAAAGAAGTCAGAGCTGCTGTGTACCCAAAGATTGGCCTCATTCCTCGTATCTACCCTTGAAATGAGTGTGAAATGTCACTTTTTATGATGTCAAAAAGAAATGAGACATCCTTGCATTATTTCCAAGTTCACGTGGGTCAGGATCATGAAATATAAAATAGTGAGTAACAGCTCCCAGCATTTGGTGAGAGGTGGTCATCTACCCATGAGTGTTGGCTGTCGTCTCCAGATGGCTCAACTTGCTGGAAGAGATCGCGGAGCAGCTGCACTCCAGCAGGGCCCTGCTGCAGCTGTGGCAGAGGTACAAGGACTACTCCAAGCAGTGTGCCTCCACGGTCCAGCAGCACGCGGATGGCACCAACGCGCTCTTGAAGACGGCCACTAACAAGGACATCGCTGATGACGAAGTGGCTGCGTGGATCCAAGATTGCCACGTATGTTCAGGAGCCGCCGTGCTTTCCCAGCATGCCTTTCTCAGACTTCTCCGGTTTAGCAGGGCTCGTGCTATGGGTGTCAGCTTTTGGCGTGTCTCAGTGTGTGAGACAAGTTACCCCCAAATCATTGTTTTCAGTATCAAAGAGCCTGCTGGGTTTTTAGAACACATGTATCAGATTTAAAAGGCCCCTCCCATGGCTTCATTTTTAAGATGAGTTGTTTTCCTGTTTTTCCCAATGGAATACAATCCATGTGAATGGTTTAGGCTATCTTTTTAGAGAGCTGTTCAGTCTAAGAAATTACCGTAGGGAGAATAATGTCATATCTTTTAAAAATCCAATGTTAAAGGCATCATCCCTTTAGGTTCCTTATCTTTTATGTAAGTGTCAATATAATTTCTTCTATGAATTTAATGGTAGAAAGAAGGCTTTCTTTCTCTCCTGATTTATGGGCATGTTTCTTTTTAATAGCTTTTCAGTATTTCCCTTTTTCACTGTATCTGCCAATAGCCTACTTAAGGTTTTCGGGAACAGTTCTCTTGTTTCAACCATTACGTGGTTCTTACCATGTGTCCTTATTTGTCTTTATTTTAATGAATTTATTTCAAGTGTCCTCTTATAAACTTTCCTATTCAGTTTATTAGGATTAGGCAAGTTATAAAAAGCACATAAATAAAAGTTTAAGCTATTCTGTTACCTTCACCTAAATAATAAATAATCACTTTAAAGCTCAAGTTTAATATTTATGGCGAAGATAATTCACTGCTTTTTCTTTTCCACATACAGTTTATCCTTACAAGATTTCTCATTTTCAACGTTCCCCTGAGTTGAGATACACCTGTTTCAGAGTGTAGCACTCCAAATTGTTTTTGTGAATTTGTCTGATATCTGACTCGAGGTTAAAGTTGCCCTTTGCTCTTCTTCTTCTCACAGTAGTCCCTGCATAGGCGTAGCAGGCTCTGCTCGCTCTGCCATGTCTGTTTGGGCACCAGCAACAAAGAATCAGTCATTTGGCATCTCTTAGTGGTAGATGGAAACCAGAAACAGAGAATTTTCATTGGCTTGTAATTTTTAGCATATAAGAGGGTCCCATAAAAAGTGGATGCCATGGAAAATAATGGAGGTGCAGTTTACCCTTTCCCCTGCTCACCAGAACCATGCCGAGATCGTAACTAATGCTACTGCCCACACATATAGAAGATCCTGTTGACAAACTCATCCTTGTGTCTATAATATTAAATAGATAAAAGGTAAAATGTAGCACTCTGTTTTCAATGTGATATCAATTCTGCAAAGAAGCAGGAAAAAACTGCCAACACGTTTCGTTATTGGCTTTACTCGTAGATTTTTTTTTCTGCTTATGTATGTTTTTCTGCATCCCCAATGTCCTACAATGAACCTATGTGGCTTTTATTAGTAAATATATTCTTTAGAATGTTAATGCTCATGCATATTTTTAAAAATTGCACATATGTATTTTTGAAAATTGGATAAAGCCTTGATTAGTTTTTCGGCCGGTGAAGGTTATTTAGTGTTATAACTCAGCACTTAAGAATTGAGTGTTTCTAATGTGTGGCCCTTTACTGATTGCTTATAATAAGGAGTGCACTTAACATGTTGTTTCACGATGTGTGTATTTTCATTTTCTACAGGATCTCCTCAAGGGACTGGGCCCAGTTAAGGATTCCCTTTTTGTTCTCCGTGAGCTGGGAGAGCAACTCAAGCAACAAGTGGATGCTTCAGCAGCGTCAGCTATTCAATCAGATCAACTCTCTTTGAGTCAACACTTATGCACCCTAGAACAGGCTCTCTGCAAACAGCAGACTGTATTACAGGTACAGAGCTTGTCGTATTCAGCGTGTGTTATAATGGGGTGTTCTATAGCGTCTGGGCATAAACACAGGAAAAGAAGGAATTTTCATCATTGAGACAATGCCTCCTTTGGTTCAAGACCAAAGAACTAAACATTAAAGAAACTTGGAAATGCCTATGGGGACAAGGGAAGGTGGCATTCTTACATTGTCCTTTACAATGTAATTTTTCCCCTAAACCAATGCCTCCTTTGATGGTACTGAGGAAGATATGTCCAACTAATAAATACTAAGTGGGTTTAATATTAACATTCATGTTTATGTAAGAAGTTTTTGCAAGAACCAGAATATATTGCTGTTTGATAATAATAATATGTTTTCAAAGTGACTTTAATTTTGGTTAATTAATTAATGGTACATAGGAAGAATTCTAAGTCTTAGAAAAATTATGTTAATAAAGGAAATTAAGTCATCATAGCCTTGTTTCTTTAAGAACAGCATCTGGAGAATGGCAATTTGATATAAGAATACAAAAAATAATTTCAGTATCCACTTGCCCTTTCGCTAGATTTCTCAATACCAACTTTCTTTTGTAATAAAAAAGGCCGGCGTTCTTGACTATGAAACCTTCACCAAGAGCTTAGAAGCTTTGGAGGCCTGGATAGTAGAAGCTGAAGAAACACTACAAGGGCAGGACCCCAGCCACTCTTCCGACCTCTTGACCATTCAGGAAAGGATGGAAGAACTGAAGGTAAGTGTATTGAAATCCTAGTCCCAGATCTTCTATCTTCTGTCCTCAAAGGAAAACTCCAAACTCCTGACATAGGCCTACTTTTTATTTTGAGTTTCCAAGGAAACGCTTGCCAGCTCTGCTTTCCTGCTATCCTGAGAGGAGCGAGCCGTGTGCTGGGAGTGTGGCCAGGAGCCACCACCTCACTCTCCGTCCTACTTCTAGTCCCTCCCCATGCCCAGCCCATCACCTCCTTCACAGCTCTTGAACCCCCCATCTCCATCTCTACCATCATCTACTCCTAATTCAAGCCACCGATCTCTCTCTCGGACCCCTGCAACCGCCTGCATGGATCTCCCTGCAGCCACCCCTCTCCCTCCAAACCAGAGCTGCCACAGTGACCTTTTGTTTATTTATTTCTCAGTTACAGTTGACGTACAATATTATATTAGTTTCAGGTATATTACGTAGTGACTAGACATTTGTATAACTTACGCGGTGATCAATCCAAAAAGTCTAGTACCCATCTGACACCATACCATGGTATTATGTAATTGGGACATATTCTAGGCATTCAGTAAAGTGAATAAATAATACAATAGATATGCAGATTTTATCATATTATTCGTCTGCTTAAAACCCTTTGGGTTCTAGTGCTCTCAGGATAAAGCTCAATGTGGGTTATCAGGCCCAGCGTAACCTTCCTAAGGGTCTCGTCTTCACAACTGTCCATCTCCTCCTCCAGCCACTCCGGAGCCACATTGGTTCCTAGTATCTGTGTGCAGGATGTTTTCCTTTTCTGGAATTCTTTTCTTGTCCCCGCTAACTCCCTCCGACCAAAAGGAATAAACTCCTGGTCATTTTGTTCCATGTCACTCTCTTAGGTAAGCCTCCACTTCTGTCCATGTTCAGGCTCCCCAGTGACGACACACTTTCACAACACACTATTCTTTTGCGTCAGTGTTTTAGCATACCATTTAATTATGTCCTTGTGATTGGTGACGACTGTTGTTCTCTCTGTAATTGGAATAGTATCTTTCTCTCTGAAAGCACCATGAGAAGGACTGTGTTGTGTTGATTTTGTTCACGTCTGATGTGTCTACCCATGGAAATCTTGCCATCTGATAGTTATGCTTTTGGCTTCACTAATTGGAAAGGTTTATTCTTTCTTTAGGGTAATGAGTTATTTGCAGAACACGCAAAGAGGAAACACACAGCCGAAGGTGTCCTGACATTTTCTTTGTCCTGTAGCTAGTTCCCTAGATGGAGTTACGAATGCCTGCAAGGAAACCCGAACAGGCAGCTTTGTCCTGTGTTTGAAGGGAGCAAAGAGATGTAAAAGCACATACTAAAAAAACAAGAAACAAAAAACAACAAAACGAGAGTTGGCCGAGTGGCTCAGTTGGTTAAGAGCTCACTCAAGAGTGCGAGCTCTGAGCAACAGGGTCGCCTGTTTGATTCCCGGCCCAAGCCGAGCTGTTGCTGAGCTGCCAACAGGTAGCAGGATGGCTCAGCTAAAAAATAAAATAAAATAAAAATTAAATTAAATTAAATTAAAACATATACTGATTTCTCAGTTGAGTATCACCAACTTTGGGGTTGAGGTCAAGGACCTAAAACTGAAGCTCTTAAGGTATTGTGCGGTGATTTCAAAGGTGGGACTGTATTACATTTAGCAAGAACCCAACAACTCTTGTTTCTGTAGCTCTATCACTTACTAGCTGGGTGGCCTTGCACAATTTACTTAAAGTTTCTTGGCCTCTTTTTCCTCATTGTAAAGTGGGGATAGTAGTGCAGTACTGTGAGGGATTGTTTGAAAGACAAAATGAGTTACTGTATTACCTGTAAAGCTCATCTAATAATAAGTGCTCAATAAATGTTAACTATTACTATTGTAACTATTGTTATTAAATAATAAAGAAACCAATTAGCATGGATAAATGAAGTCTGAAGGGTAAGAATTAAACCTCTTCAGTCATCAGCATATTTTTATTCTTTATCAGCTCTACCAAGAATGACTCAGGAGTAAATAAATCAAGTAAATAATACATGTAAACCACTACATGTTCCTTAAAAGATTGTGGCTGTCGCCACAATAGCAGCAGCAGCAGAAGCTGATGAGGACATGGCTTTTCTTTACTTATAGCTCTGGTGATTGCAACCAAGTAGCCTAGAAATATAGAGACCACCAGCCAGACTCCTTCTGAAATTCAAAGTTCACTGTACACTTTGAAAGCACTCTGTCTATTCTTTTCTCTTTTTATAAAGTAAATTTATTGGTATGACATTGGTTAATAAAATCATATAGGTTTCAAGTGTACAATTCTATAAAACGTCATCTATATATTGCATTGTGTGTTCACCACCAAAAGTAAGTTCTCCATCACCATATATTTGACCTTATTTATCCTCTTCTACCATCCCCTCTCCTCTCCCCCTTACTCTCTGGTAACAACTAAACTGTTGTTGTCTGTGTCTATGAGTTTCTGTTTGTCTTGTTCATTTGTTGCTTTTAGTTTTGGTTCCCACATATGAGTGAAGTCATATGGTTCTCGACTTTTTCTGACTTATTTTGCTTAGCATGATAATCTCAAGATCCATCCATGTTGTTGTACGTGGCAGTATTTCATCTTTTCTTATGGCCAAGTAGTATTCCATTGTATATATGTACCACATCTTCTTTATCCTATCCTCCATCCATGGTGTTTTCTTTTTTAAAACCTGCTTTTAATTCTTGCTTTCAGGGACAGATGTTGAAATTCAGCAGCATGGCCCCAGATTTAGACCGTCTGAATGAGCTTGGCTATAGGCTACCCCTGAATGATAAAGAAATCAAAAGGATGCAGAGTCTGAACCGGCACTGGTCTCTGATCTCCTCTCAGACTACAGAAAGATTCAGGTAGAATTACCAAGAGATGTTTTGGCCGCTCTGATATACCAGTAGAAATAAGTTCATGATTTGCATACATTTATAAATGCTAGGTCTTTCCAATGATACAAAATTGGAACTCAAAATGAGAAACTCAAATTGCAAAGTGGTTTTCCATGTTTAATGTACTCAATGCTGTTTTAATCAAAAAATAAAAAGCTCTTTTATGTAAGACTATATTAAAGCTACAAACATAATCTTATCATTTTTAAAACTTACCATTTTAAACTTTTTCTCTCAACTTTCTTTTTAAATTTTACTACCCAATAGGAAAGTTTTGTGGTGGTCAAATTAGAATTGGAGGCAGGAAAAAAAAAAGAATTGGGTGCAGAAAATATTTAAGCTACTTTTATATGCTAAAGATATAAAAATAAGCAACAACATAAGCACTATTCTTTTTCCTCTGTTCTGTCAGTAAGTTGCAGTCATTTTTGCTACAACATCAGACTTTCTTGGAAAAATGTGAAACATGGATGGAGTTTCTGGTTCAAACAGAGCAAAAATTAGCAGTAGAGATTTCAGGAAATTATCAGCATCTTTTGGAGCAGCAGAGAGCACACGAGGTAAGTTATGTCAGCAGATTTGGGGGCAGTAAAATAGTTGAGGCCTTTGGGAGATGCTGCCGATGCCATGTGGGGAAATTAAAATGCCGTATCTTGTGCCAAATGTGCTCAAATGCATGCGTTGTTTTTGCCTTCTTTCTTAAGCTTGAGGTTTTGATAGCTTAATTACAAAAATGTGGTCCAGTTCTTCGCTCCTAGCTGGTTATAAGCATGTGGCAGGCCTCACCACCCTGCAGTGGATAATGCCAAACTTGTGGTCACAGTCAGCTTACAGGTGGGGGAGGGGAAGCAGAGAGGCCTTGCAGAAGGAGCGTAGAAAGTGAGACTGTTTTCAGATTGAGGTGCGACCACATTAATATTGCCAGGGCTACTAGCTGAAGAGATTATGCTTTGATCAAAAAAGTCTTTGACAAATTAAAGTTGTGTGTTCTTTAAAAAGCATATATACATTTTATACTAGGAAATTAAGTACCAGACATCACCAAGTGTACCTCTTGGTCAAACTGCATTGTGATCATTTCTCAAGAAACACTAAGAGAGAACTAGATACAAAAAGCAAATTAATTAATTTGCTGGTAGTTTCCATTCTCTATTTACTTGTATAACTAAGTTACTCTATGTATTTATGAAAAATAGGCAAGTGGAGAGATAGGATTTACCAAAAAGCTTTAATACACAACTTAAAATAGAACTAATTTTAAAGCATTTTGTTTAAATTTTAAAAGTGGAGAATTTAAATAGTATGTGTAAGGAATTTTTAAGTTCAGTTTTATCGAGTTGACTAATGATAAAATAAAAGACAACAAATCAAAGCTACAATGAGATATCACTTCACACCCACTAGGATGACTACAGTGAAAAAGATAATGAGTGTTGAGGAAGGTGTAGAGAAATTGGAACCCTCGTACATTGCTTCTTGGAGTGTAAACTGGTGAATGTTTTCTGAAAAACAGTTTGGCAGTTTCTCAAAAAGTTTAAATGTGACCCAGTAATTATACTCCTAGGTATATACCCAAGAGAAATGAAAAATATATGTTCACGCATATACCTGTGTGGACAAAATCTTGTATAAGAATATTGTTTGGAATGACATTACTCATAATCGTCAAAAAGTGGAAGCAACCCAACTATCCATCGACTGATGAATAAATAAATAAAATGTGGTGTATCCATACATTGAAACACTATTCAGCAATAAAAAGAAATGCAGTACTTCTAAATACTGTAACATGTGTCAGACTTGAAAACATTGTGCCACGTGGAAAGGTGCCAGTCACAAAACATCGTTCATTGCATGATTCCATTTATATGAAATGTCCAGAGGAGGCAAATCCGTAAAGGTGGAAAATAGATTAGTCGTTACCTTGGGCTGGGGGACTGAGGAAATGGGAAGTGATTGTTCATGAGTATGGAATTCTTTTTGGGGTAATGAAAATGGTCTAAAATTGATGGTGGCGTTGGTTGCACAACTCTGAAATATAATAAATATCATTAAATTATATACTTAAAATAGGTGAATTGTATGGTATATGAATTATATTTCAGTAAAGCTGTTTAAACAATGGAATTAATTTTTCTGTTGAGTTTTTTTTAGTAGTGAAATAATTTTATTAACCAAATTAAATTGAAAAATACTGAGTTTAAGAAAAAAAGGTGTTTTTTTTCCCCGTTCTTGAACTTTTTAAAGGGTCCTAAGCTGATCTCTATCTGAAAGTGGACCATATTCTGCATACAAAAGAAACAAGAATACAAATTATGCATTAACTAACTTTATAGGTGTTTTTGAAAGAAAAGGGGGGAATATAATTCCATTTTTAGTCAGTTTTAGTAAACAAAAATTAAATTTTACCTTTAAGTATATCTTAAGTGATGGTTTAAAAATACGGTATTCCTATACTGCAGGATATCATACATATCCTGATTCAGCTGGATTTATTTTTCATAACATTGCTTAAACCAAAAATTTTGGAAACTTATTAGAGAATCAGTCATTAAAATTAGGAACTCTAAAGCATGTTCTTCTTTTTTTAAAAAATAATAGTTGTTTCAAGCAGAGATGTTCAGCCGTCAACAAATTTTGCACTCGATCATTACTGATGGGCAGCATCTTCTAGAACAAGGTCAAGTTGATGACAGGTAGGATCTTTGATATATTATTATGAAGAAAGGTTCCAGTAAATTAGTCATTTTCTTTTTAATGAGCAGATTAGAGGGCATATATCCAATCTTCTCAAGGCAATTGTATTGCAATGGAGCCTCCGTAATTGGAGGAAAGGCTTGTCTGAATCTCTGAAATGGCAGAGTATTGAATCTTTTTTAAAGAGCTTGTATTACATTATATGAAGGACACAGAGTACTTGAAAATCACCTAGCCCACCTTTGCTAATAGTCTGTAGGAGACTTGAATTAATAAATAGATCAGAATGAATTGTATCAATGATGGATCAGAGTTTGTAAACAGATGTTTCTAATATTCTCATATGATTACAGACATTTAATTCCTAAAAGGAACACAGAGATCACTGGAACATGCCTTTTACTTATAGATGAAAACGTGAGGTCCGGAAATGTGAACTGATTTGACCAAGGTCACGGATCTGAGTAGCACAGAATCAAGCCTAGAACTTGTGTATCTGGTGTTCAGTCGGGACAGGCCTGCTCCCCGATACTAAGACCATTCCAGATTTGAAAATGGTGTGCTGCCTTTACTTAGATTACACTCAACCTGAAATCCCGCTTTCTCTCCACTTACTTAGCAGATTCTCTCTTTACTAAAAATGGAAAGGTAATACCTAGCTCCTTGTTAGATTTGTGGTATGTGAATTGATGATCCCATACTATATTTACTTTCCTTAGGAATGATATGTACTCTATCCTATCTACTTTCTGTGGCGATATTTACACTATAAACCTCACTTACTTTATTACATATGTATATCTTTCCCATATTTAGGACCAGTAGTTGCAATTATAATAAATTTATTATTTTTTTAATAGAAAATAAATTATTTTTATTAAGAGGATTTTTTTTAATGTTTTGGAAGCAATTTCAGTTTTAAGTGGATATTTCTTTGGACAAATATGAAAGATGTTCATGGTTAAGCTTGGAACAACGAAATGTGATACCATATTTATTCTATTCTAAGTAAGCCAGATTTAATGTGAACTTTACAGAGAATTTAAGGCCTTCAAAATAAGACAAATTCAGATGCAATTAACTTATCTTTTACTTCATCCTTCTCTAGCCAACTCTATAACAATATTGTAAAAGTTTGAGTCATTAAGTGAAATAAAATTTAAAATTCATGCACAAGCCAACAGCTATTAAATTTTCAATGTTAACAGGGAAAAACCCAAAGAAATGAAAACATGAGCTTTGGGCCCAAGGATAATTTTGAACATTGCAAGTGATGAAAACATTCAGATTAGAGCATGTTGACAGTAGGAAGCCCTTAGATTATAAATGTATTGTGTTTTAAAAGTTCTACAAAGTGAGGATGAAGGCTCCGACGCAATCTCGGATGGCTACCTGTAGAGGAAAGCAATATGCAGGTTACTTTTCATGTCACATTCTCAAGTCCTGGAGTTTCTACTTCTTCAGAGATGAGAGATGCTTGTAGCTTTTAGGGAAGTCTCAAACCTAATTTGGTTCTACTGCAATTAGATTATAAATACCAGAAATTTTGTTTCAAAAACAGAAAAACTGGTACAACTTTTGGTTACAAAATCAAAGTTTATAATGGCCCTAGATACAACTATCAAGAATATCAGAGTCCAGGGTAGTACGTTCAATTCAGATTTGAAGCTACCTCAAGAGGACAAAATAGCATATCTAGGGAAGAAAAGCAAAACTAATATAATAGAGAAAAATGAGTAATGTTACACATATAGTACTGAAATGTGTGGAACAGTATAATCGATAAAGAGACTCATTCTGTTTGTTGCTGGGCAAACCAGTTCTAGAGCCACAAGTTGAGTGTTAAAGAAGACTTAGTAAAGAGCTACCAACATTTCTTAGGGGTAAAAAACACAGAGGTAGGAAACACAAACTAAAAAAAACCTGAGATTATTTAGGTGGAAATTGAGAAAGCTTAAGTAGAATTTCATATCTGTAGAAATATGGACAACTTTTGTACAGACAGTGAAGACTAGATATAATAGTTTTCATTTTTCTAAGAACAAAGCGAAGTGGGTTTAACATGTAGAAGGGGAAATTTAGATTAATATGTGGAATCATTTGCTAAAGATTAGGGCTGTTTATTGTGAGGGAATATTGAGAGTTTATGGAGTACAGTTTCCAAAAAGATTATTTTAATAACATAATTTTATTTAAGCATCTGATGACGGTAGCTAAATAGCCCAGTTTTGTTCATCCAAAGTGGCTTACAATTCTAGCTGAAGACAGGGGCTATAAATAAGCTTCGCTCCTCATCTTCTCCTGCTGTAGCCCTCACAAGATGCCCTCACGTGCTGCCTACATTGCTCTGCGTGAGCTCAGGGCTTGGGGCCATTCCCATTACAACTACGGCCCTGTGCGCCTGCGCCTCATGCACTCAGGGAGAGAGTAAAGGACACTGACCTTATAGACGTGCCTTCAATCTGTGCTGAAACGTGAGGACACTCACTGTTTGCAAACGCCGATAGTTTCACTGTTACTGGTTTTGAAAATCACTTGCGATAGACCTGATAACAGATCATGGCACCATGTTTGAAAACCTCTGCCCTAGATCACTTCTCAGGGCTTACTGCCATCGAGTGTGTCTGCGTTGGTTGATAACGTGACCTCCTCCAGGATAACCGTAGTTTTCCCTTATGTAATTATTTCTTCACCAGAGATGAGTTCAGCTCGAAATTGATACTTCTCAGTAATCAGTGGCAGGGAGTGATTCGCAGGGCCCAGCAAAGGAGAGGCATCATTGACAGCCAGATTCGGCAGTGGCAGCGCTATCGGGAGATGGCAGAAAAGCTTCGCAAATGGCTGGCTGAAGTGTCCTATCGACCCATGAGTGGCCTCGGAAGTGTCCCGATACCACTGCAGCAAGCAAGGACCCTCTTTGATGAAGTGCAGGTAAGGTGCAAACCATGCCGTTTGGAAACCTCTCCTGCTTTTCCACCGCACACTTGACCCTCGCCTCAGTTCTTCAGAAGCATTCTGGAGTGACACTGGAATGGGGACAAACATTGTTTGCGAATGTCAACAGACACAGAGAAAATAATGGCATTGCAAAGCCCATATTTAATGATGAAAGTGTGCTACGTGCCAGCCTCTCACAGTCTCCCTCCACTTCACACACCCGGGCCTCCCAGCAGCTCCTTGAATCCCAGCACGGATAGGAAGGTAATGACAAGGGCAGCGAAACTCTGCACTGCTGATCTATATTTCAGTCATGCGCAGCTTAAACATGTCACTGAAGTATTCCCGAGAAAGCAAAAGGCTCAGTCCTGTTTGAGCTCCTTGTCCATTCCTGGTCTAGGCACTTACTTTCACCAGCCCGGGAATTTGGGGTTCTAGCCTCTTAGATGAATACCCGCTTGTGTTCTCGTCAGCCCTTCCCAGTGTGTTCCATGGGTTCCTTTTCCTTTGAAAGTCATTATTGTTGCTTCCTTTCCCCTCCTCACTTCTCTGGGAAACGTCATCCACACACTTGGTTTCATTTGTCCCCTTCCAGTGCAGAAGGGCCAGATGAGTATCTTCCAGTCATATTCACTCCTGAGTGTTCGGCTCATGTATTCAACAGCCTTTTAGATTTACATGAATATGCATCACAAATGTAATATACTCTGTGGGTTCCAACAAAGCCTGCAATCTCTGGACCAACCGTTGTCCATCAGTCCATTTCCCATGTTCCCCGTTCCTGGAAATGTCACCACCAGCTATCTGGTCTATCAGTCAGGAACCCCAGAATCATTTATCCTCTTCTTTTTCTCTCCCTTCCCATATCTAATATTCCTCAAGTTTCCATCCCGACTGCCGCAGCCTTAGATTAGGTGCTCATGGCGTCTTGCCTAGCTAGACAGTAGGTTTCTCAGCATATCCAGTGCATGCCCTGCTTCCGTTGCATTTTCTCCCCTACTGCTGAATGCTTTCATGCAAACACATCATTTCCCTGCTTAATATTCTTCTGTGAGTCTCATTCCCTTTTATTATAAAAATCAAATTCCCGTGAAAAGATGAGGCTTTGCCTCATCTGCTGCTGCCCTCCTGCATGTATCCTCTATTCCTTCCAGCCACTGAAAACCGCATCTAATGTCCTGAATTCATCATTTTTATCTTGTACAGTGAATTTGCGCATCCTCATTTGTCTGCATGGAAGGGGCCCTCTCCCTGACCCCTGGCCCTCATATGAAACCAGGCCCTTCACAATCTGGCTATGTTCATATATCTTTCAAGACTCATGAAGCTTTTACTGCTTTGAGGAAGCCTCTCTGTGTACCCCATGTGGGTTAGATACACGAGCCCTGGTCTTTCTTTGAATTAGGTTGTTTGTATTAAATATGCATCACAAATGTTTTCTGCAAAAGACATAAGAAGATCATAATAAAACTTTAAAAACAAGCAGACAAACAAACAAAAAACCCATATGTAACAATGCGTTCCCTGTGCATCAGTCTTATAGAGCAGTTTTCATATTGCATCATGGTTACATTGAACCCAGAGACAGACACTGGGCCTCCCACTGTTGAATTCTCATTCATTCACACATTCCTTCATTCCTGCACAAACCACTAACTCAGTAAATGCCTGTTAGATAAAAGATGGCATGCTATCTATGCAACGCTCTAGGGTCTTTGCTCTAGGGTCATTTAAAAATACTTATAATAGATAGGGAAATGGGGAAGAAAAGGATGAGAGGATAAAAAGCCATGGTTCCTTTTAGTTCAAAGAAAAGGTGTTCCTGCGACAACAAGGCAGCTACATCCTGACGGTGGAGGCGGGCAAGCAGCTCCTGATCTCTGCAGACAGCGGGGCGGAGGCCGCCTTGCAGGCCGAACTCGCGGAAATCCAAGAGAAATGGAGAACAGCCAGCGTGTGTCTGGAGGAGCAGAAGAAAAAACTGTCCTTCTTGTTGAAAGTAAGTCCAGCTCTTTCCTCCAGTAGATGTACTACAGTTGAAAAACTCTTATTAGTTGTGCTGCTTCCTCCCATTGTTATCCCGCGAATCAAATAATCCAAGGTCATGAGGTCATACACTGCAGTATTTTGATCCCCTGTGTTTTATTTAAGACCTTGTCCTGTCTTACATGAACTGAAAAAGTTTCCCAATTTTCAGCCATTTGTCATCCAGGAAAATCCCCCAACAAAAGTAGTTTAAGTCTAAGAAGACCCGTCCCAGTGATTACTTCTGATTAATGGTGGGTGCTGAGCCAGGAGCCATGCAATGACTGGATAAAGCCAGACAGGAATGCAAAGAATAGATTCCACTCCCTAACCTAAGCCTCTAAAGTGGTTTTCAAGATTGATATCTCTTATTTTATAGCAGGGGAAAACCTATCCAAGAAGATACTCTTGATTTGATCAGAGCTTATCCAAGCATGTTGCTATGAGATAAAATCTCCAGGAGGTATATTAAGCCTGTAGTTGGATACAGATAGCATACTGATCACACAGCAAATTTAGGTAAATGTAGATTTATCCGGACCTCCCACAATATGCTTTTCTCTCTTGCTTTCCAAATCCATATATAATACATAGTTAAACCAGCAGTTTGCAAAAGGTCATGGGCTCTAAACTCAGATTAACCCAAGTTAACACCATAATAAACCAAGTAACTTGGTTGACTCAACCTATGTGTCAGTTTTCTGATCTGTTGAGTGGGTATGGTTACATCTCCTTCATACAGCAGTGTGAGGATTTAATGAAATAATGACGGTGAATCAGGTGGCACAATAATTATCATTGTTGATATTATTCTCATTTTAGAAAGTAAACACAGCTAAATACTGATGTTTTATATATGTTGATAACCACCAACACTTTAATGAGATTATCCATTACATTTGGCCTGTCACTTTTTGGGTCAGAGGTAATAACTAAAGTTAATGGAATACATTTTGCTTTTTTAAAATATTTAAAGGATGCACACCCATTGGGTTTATTCTATTAAATATTATTTAATAATATATTACCTTGTGTCTGAGCATGCCACTGAATAGCTGTTAACTTATTTACACAGCATGATTCATCAGTAATACAATATGTCTGACTCTTCATTTTTGCTTTCAGGAAAGGAATTAAAAACATTGTAACTCACTCTGTAGAGAACATGAGAACATGTTAATCATGCGCTTTTTCTTTATTTGTGATGTGATTATTGGACGCATTTCCCAAGATTTCTAAGACAAGACAGCTGAGTCACTGCATTTGCTTTTCTTGTCCGTCTGTGGGTGTGTAAAACATCCACTTTGATAGGTGTTTGCAGACCACAACATTCATTTATTTTCTTATAATTAATGGAGTAAAGAGACTAGTTATAGCTTCAGAATGTAAGCCATCCTTGGAAAGGGAAATCCCTCTTCTCTTGTTCAAGTTTATTTTATTTTGAGTCATATACTCGGTCCTATTTGCGTAAGGAGTTTATGAAGCTAAATTCCTGTTTATGCAGGCTCATTTTACGGTATCTTTCCCCTCAACTTTAATATAATGCCTCTCTATTTTTAGCTCTTAATTCAATACTCTGAGTACATGTGCCAAAAATACTCATTATATTTCTATGCCCTGTGTGTTTACCTGCTTCACTGTCACCTCTTAATTTTGTTACAAAAAAATAAGAAGCTAATCTTTTCTAGACCAATGAACATTTATTGACTGTAAATTGATAGATTTCAGAGTGTGTGATGATTTAATTCAGAATGCTGTTCAATTTAAGTAGAAAGAGGGTCTTTCTGCTTCTCTCATTGTGCTTAGCATTGACGAGCGAAATGTAGCCTAGGAGCACAGAGATAGTTTAATAAAGGGAACGGACAGATCTGCCCAAGGTAGACAATTTCTTTTGTTTTGTTTTTTTGTTATTTTCTGGTGAATGGGAAGAGGGAATGTGGTTATGCAGCTTAGGAAGTTCCCTAAAGGAATTTAAAAGAGAAATGAGAATCTTGAGCCAAATTCTCGGTTCAGTTAGCGCCCAAGAACATTTTGAGTAGGGAGGTACTGTAGTCATCACTTCTTAAAGAAGACAGTTGTAGTAAATAGCACCTGTGGGTTACAATGTTAAAAATAAGGCACCAGATAAGAAGACAGAAGAACCCAGGCAAGAAAACATGGAAGAGGTAATATAAAGAAAAATGCAACATGATTTGGCATCATGCTAATTACTAAAAGCAACTCTAGTTGTTTTTCTTTGGAGCTCAGGTGGCCACTGAGGAAGGGTTGTTGTGGAGAAAGAGGCCAGGAATGGGGGTTAATAGACAACATTACACAGATTTGTTTTAAATTTGCGTGGGCACTGAGACACCAAATATGAGTTAATTTATAGGTAGAGTGCTATAAAGAATCAAGTTTCCATTGTGGTTCCTTTAATTTTTTTCTTTTACTTTTTTTTTTTTTAATTACAAAAGAAATACATGTGTCTGGCAAAAGAAATACTCAGGTAATAATTGAAGTATGTAAAGTGAAAAATGAAATTTCCCCTACACCACCACCCACACCATATTAACTTCTCCAGAGGTAACCATTGTTACCAGTTTGGTGTGTAACCTTTCAAAACATAACCACATAATGTAACCACATAATGTAGAGAGCTACCACATTCCATAATGCCAATCTCTACCACTTATCCTACTATCTTCTTCTTCAGAGTACTTATCAGTACTTGGCATACTGGATGGATATTTTAAAATATTACATTATCTGTCTTCCTCCACTTATTGATTTGTTTGGGTTTTTGTCTATTACATATTTAGCCCTTTATTACATATGTTTCTGTACTATCAAGATAAAGCCAGTCAAATGCCATGCCTTTTCTACTTTTGTGTTTCTACTTCTGTAACAATTCAAATGTATGTACCTCATATTATGTACATACTGAATTGAATGAGAGTCAGGGTAATATTAGTTTTCCATTCATCTCACTTCTCTCACACATATTTTCATCCTGACAGTGACCCCATGTCCTCCTTCTCATTTCCTATAGTGCGTTTGAGGTAGTGTAGACATTGGGGTAATTATGGGTAGGGTTAGGAAAGACGCACTGTTCAGCGATTATCCTCTCACCTCTGCAGATTGATTCAGATTCAGATAACATTTTTGATTACCCGTAATATTCTGGACATTGCACTTGGTGCTTTGACACCCATAGCTTCCTCCAACAACTATAGGGTTGTATTAGTTCTATTTCCATCAGAAAAACTGAGAGCATGCACTACCTGCGTTAAGTCACATACATAGTAAGTAGGAGTCACTTTACAACTCAGCTCTTCTGACACCACCCACCATGGCACTGGAGGTGGACAGACCTTCACAGCAGCCTCAGTGTAACTTTAGTTCTTTCTCTGATAATCAAGAAGAGTGTTTTCCTTTTTTTCAAATTTTCTACCAAAAAAAAAAAGAAATTTCTTTCTCCTCCCGTTTTAGGACTGGGAAAAATGTGAGAACGGCATAGCTGAATCTCTGGAGAAACTACGGACTTTCAAAAAGAAGCTTTCCCAACCTCTACCGGATCACCACGAAGAGCTCCATGCAGAGCAAATGCGTTGCAAGGTAAACGACTGCCATGAGCTTTTAACTGTCACCTACCTGTGTGCTTTGGCTGTAATTATGCCTTTGAAAGCGTAATCTATTCTTGGCGATCTCCTATGGCCATGCAAGTTCCTGGTATATTGCAATAAAAGCAATCTTTTTAAAGCATCCTTACTGGAGAGTCATTGGAGCAGAAGAATCTAGGATACAGCAAGGAGAGTGAGGCTGGGCAGTCTGGAAATTCTGCAGACAGTGGCCGTGGAGGAACACACCTGCCCTCCAGACTCCACTGTAAGGAAACAGGAACTGTAGATAGCTGACTTCTGTTACTGCACAGAGCCACCATTCTTCAGTTAGTCAGGGCCCCAGCTACTTGAAGGTTATGATCAACACCTCACATCGCACTTGGAAGCACATCAGCGGCTAATGCAGGCTGCCCCCTGCGTCATGAGCTCGCTGGGACCAACATGACTTGGTGGCTTTAGGGTTTGGTCCAGTCGCACCTGTGGAGCCAGGTGGGGTGCAAACAGCAGTTCTCTGTTGAGCAATATGCAGATCAAATCAAAACTACCTTTAAATTTTCCCCCCAAATTACACATGTCCTTGTGTTTCTAGTCATTTGCAAATTGTTGCACTAGAATAATTTCGTTTAAAACTTCACACATACTTAAATAATTTGGGTTTTAATCAGTTCTCTGCTTCACTTTGGCTAAGAAGGTAAGCATTTATGAAAATTTAATTTTTAAAGAAGTCTAGGAATCATCAAAAGTGTGGATATAAGACTATTTCTTTGATATTAAAATGTAAGAGTATTCTTTGGTACTTGAAAGAAGAAAATTTTAAAAAAGTGAAAAGTTACTGTAGTTTACATCATGGATTCATGGATGGCGAGTGAAACATTATTTTGAAGTATAAATTCAGAAATATGCAAAGATTAAAAAGAGCATGTTTTAAGCCTGTGATTGTAAATTTAATAACAAATGATTCAAGAAAACCTCCAATAACCAGGAATGGCATTTATTAGGCTGGTCCTCTGTGCCAGTGACAGTATCAGTGTTACTTCAGATGGCATGAACTCAAGCTCATGAGGATAATCTGCTATTCCCCTTCAACAGTTATGAAAACTGAAGCTTCTAGAGGCTTAATAACTTTTCAAAGTTAGTAAATAACAAAATTGCCTGAACCCAAAGGCTTTATTTTTACCACAAGGACTCATCTGATGGAGTCTGTAAGTCTGAAAGAGTTGGTGCCTGGCGGTGGTGGTGGTGGTGGTGGTACTTTTTTAATCCCTACACCAAATCTGATGTTTGAGTTGGGGGTTAAAAATTGTTATGAAAAGAGGGAAACCTTTACATCGGTATGGTCATTTAATATTCTACACATATAAACAGAAATGTTACTTATTAATATACCTGGATGGTTTGGTTTTAGCCAAAAACTGGTACCAAGGGAACTCATCTCCCAGAATACACAACAGTCACAAGCATGACCTGCTATTAAGTTTGGAGATTAAAAGGGTGCATTTTTGGTTCAGCTCTCTGCTACTCTTCCCCCAAACCACCCTGAGCTGCAAAACAAAGCAATTACCTGGAAAATTCAGACTGAAACCTTGTTTGCCTAAATTGCCTGGAAAGTTAGCCTCAGACAGTACTGTTAATTGCCTTTTCCTTTGGAAACTTGCCTCCTGTGTGAAGAGACAAAAAGTGAGGGAAAAAGCCATGTGAGATATTCTATTTATGCACTAAATTAGCTGGAATCTGAAAACATCAAGAACTGGCAAAAAACATGAATTATACAAGTTGCAAAATCTGTTGAAACATTAAAAAAACTAATGTTAACTTACTCAAATATTGTTTTATGAATTTTTTTTCTTAAATCATTCGACAAAGATCAGAAGACATATTTTTTACAGTTACTTAAAGAAATCTCTGCTTCTGTTGAAAATGTGTTCAATCCATTATTTTAAATTGAGTAATAACAACAGATCTTTTCAGCTGTTACAGTATAAGTCTATATCATTAAGCAGCAATTCTTAGTGTTTGAAGATGAAAGTTCAATACTATAGGAGTCTGAAGTTTTCAAAAAGTATTTCATTAACATGATCAGTACCTCGGGACAAAAAGAAAGGTGGGGTTAGGAGTTTACGAAATCAGTTTAAAAGTAAAGATCAGGGCCGGC